GGATTTTTAGATTTTTCAAGGTTTTATAAGATATTTTAAAGGTTTTTAAAGGTATTTAAAATGCATTTATAAGGTATTTATAAAGTATTTATAAGATTTTAGATACATAGAAATGTAATTTGTGTATGTTTTAATAATATTACATACATATTTGGGTAAATCTTATATTTTTAAGAGCATTTTTTATAAGATTTTTAAAAATGGGTATTTTTGAAAAGTGGCATTGAAAAGGTGGCATTTTTGCAAAAGCCCCTAATTTAAAACCACAATAGACCAGTTGTTTTATTCAATAAAAGTTAGACATATGTTCTAACGAAAATTCAATTTAATAAAAAAAAACTAAAAGCATACCTTAGTATATATATATATATATATATAAATTTACATGATTATTAATTTAGGATATTAATGAGACCATATATTTACATAGAGATTCTAAAAAAATTATTATCTTATTATCTTATCAAATTTTGTTAAATTTTACATTGGCCCGACTTGGGACCAGATAATTTAATTAATTTATAATGTTTATTAATTTATCGAGTATTAATTTATAGAGGTTTGACTGTATATTGCACACAGTTTTCAAAATTATGTAAACTAATTATATATTTTGTATTCAACACAAATTATGCAGCAATAGCAGATCCCTTTTATAGATGTATCTCAAATTTTTATTTTTAGTCCAAAAATCAAATTAATTATGATTAAACAATGAAAAGAAGAATATGCAAAATTTAGCTAAGGAAAGAAACATTAATAAATTTGTTAAAATATTTGTAACTTTAACATCATACATATTAATCCATTAAACTCACAGTATGTATTGTATGATATTTAAAAGTAAGCAAACAAGAATTTGGAACATGGATTTAATGGAATGAAATGAGAATAGGAATTACGAGACGGGATGACAGGGGAACATAAATTAAAAATCAAACTAAATACTCAACTGGTATGAGTTCGTGTTATGAGCACTATATAAAATAAATTTGTTTACACACATAACCCAATACGTACATTTTCAGTTACACATATAGTCTAATTATGATAGATACAAGACCGTAATATTTTTATTTTACCTATACGAGACGGGTTATGGGACGAAGAATTTATGACAGATACATGACGGGATAAGTTTCTTGTTCCAAAATAGTTACGCCTAGCTAATATACATGAAATAATCCAAACTAAAACCGAATATATATCCTATTTAACATATGTAATCAAACTATTAAAAATGTTTTGATTAGTTTAGAAAACAAAAACGTAACATCACTTAAGTTTTGCAACTAAATAATATCTTAATTTTATCTTAAATACAATTTCGCACGTACGTGTAGGTCCGAATCTTAAAATATAACTATGCACTAACGCAACTGAATTTCGTTCATTAATCTAACTTTATAGTATATATATTATTACGAAGTTCACTAACACAATAAAATATTTTATGTTTTTAAAATCTATATAACAATTTATAAAAAAAATATCTTTGTATGTACGTGTGGATTTAGATCTAATACACTAAGATATATATCATAAAAACAACAAAATAATATATATTATATGAAAAATTTTAAGAAATGTTTTTAAAATATGAAACCCCGCACGTACGTGCGGGTCATGATCTAGTTTTCTTTAAAAGCTTTAAAGTATCAATTTTTGTAGGCTTTTTTTTAAACGAAAATTTTTTATATTAAGAAAACTAGATTTAGTTTTATTTTAGGTGAGGAAAAAATCTTCTCTAGGCCATTTAAACAAAAAATTATATTTTTAAATACTAATGTAATATATTAAAAAAATTGAGAATAAAAATTACTTAACAGAACAGAAAATAAATTAAAAAGTCGAACTACATTTATCTTTTTTTTTTTTGAAAAGTGAGCACGTTAAATACTACATATAAATTTATATTAAGAAAACTAGATTTAGTTTTATTTTAGGTGAGGAAAATATCTTCTCTAGACCATTTAAACAAAAAATTATACTTTTAAATATTAATAGGGAAATTGTTAAAATATCTCTTTTGGTGTGCCCCTTTTAGATGTCCATTTTCAAAAATGCCCCTTTTTAAATCTGATTTTATAAAGTTTTATTAGGTTTATAAGGTACTTATGGATTGTAACTACTACTTGAAGACTCGATCCAAGTATTTATAAGGTTTTATAAGGTGTTTTTAAAGGTTATACAAGTTATTTAAAAGGATTTTTAAGGTTTTTCAAAGGTTTTACAAGATATTTTAAAGGTTTTTAAAGGTATTTAAAATGCATTTATAAGATATTTATAAAGTATTTATAAGATTTTAGATACATAGAAATGTAGTTTGTGTATGTTTTAATAATATTACATACATATTTGGGTAAATCTTATATTTTTAAGAGCATCTTTTATAAGGTTTTTAAAAAGAGGTATTTTTGAAAAGTGGCATTGAAAAAGTGGCATTTTTGCAAAAGTCCCATATTAATATATATTCATATGACCCTCGTAAACAAAAATCATAGCTCCGCCACTAAAGTTGGCACCTCCCGAGCAGCGTAAATGAGTAGTACTGCAACGATGCCAAAGTGACTCTGACTTTGAATGTGGCCAAGATCTACAAATCAAGCTTGTTGTTCTGAAGCTGAAGCTGTTGATGAAGCAACACATTGTCTTTTGCATGCAGAAAGTCTCATCACGTTTGAGATAAAAGTCAGGGTTTCAAGCTTCTTCTCTTGAGTTGTCACATTGAAAGGTTCGACGAATTGCTTAGAAATCAGATGATTGTTGAAGAAGACTTGTGCTGCACCATTCTCAGACTTTAACTTGATCTTCTTGTCTCAGTTTTCGAAAGCATAGTAGACCTTCAAGTCGAGGTCGAGGTTGAAGGAACTGAGCTCTGCATTATGGATGCTGAAGTCCGGGAACTTGGGTCTTATCACCAGGATTGCAACCATCACGAAGATGAGGAGAATGGCAGCGACGAAGACAAGCCCTGCCAATAACCAAACCCATGACATCTTCCTTGGCTCCACCGGAATCAATGAAGTCTAGGAGAAGGTGTCAAATTCTAAATGTGAAAGAAATGAGAAAAAAAAATCACTAGTTAAACGAATCTCTTACTTTTCTCTTACAAATTATTTTTACAATCCTAATTCATTAGGATTATTAATTACAAATGCAAAATTTTTACAGAAAATGACAATAGAATAATTAGTGATGGCTTAGAAAAATATAGACAAAAATGAGCAAAAAATAAGCAAAATATAAGCAAAACATAATAATATAGTCAAAATAACAAAGAAATGACAAATATATAAATTATATGTTGAAATTTATGACATTAACTTAAATAGATATTTATTGTCATTAATTTAGTTGTTTTACTACTTTAATTTATTCATTTTACTAAACTGATTTTGGTTATTATTAACTTAAATTTCTACTAATAACACCGAGGAATAGAACCGCTGAAGTTGTTGTTGGATAAAACAAGTATTTGAAGATTATCCAGTTCGCAAATTGTCCAAGGAATATTTCCCGAAAACTGATTATCGGAGCTGTAAAAGTCCAACGTAGAGCGTGGTAACAAAGGAAACGGATTCTGGAAAGTGTTTGAACTTATGTCAAGCATAAATAGTCCTCCACCTCTTTGAATAACATCCGCAGGTCCTTCAAAGCCATTGAAAGAATTCTGAGAAATGTTAACATACCTCAACTTTGGTAGTCTCCATAACCATTTTGGTACTTTGCCTTCAATTTGATTGGCAGAGATATCTAAGTCATCCAAACTGGTTTGGTTTTGTAGAAACTTGGGAAATTCAGAAATATTGCACGATGATAAAATCAAAGTCTCTATAGGTGAGAGAAGATGGAGAGTTGGATTGATCTTCAAATTAATAGTTTGATTAAAATGAAAATCAACAAGAATTGGTGATTTAATCACAAACTATTATTAACTGAACTAATTTAAAATTGTCATGAAATGTTTTCACTTATTCATCTCCGTAATCAGACTACTGATAAGGTCAACATAGGTTATATATTAAGTCTATCAAAGACTTAATGCATTAATCTATTTCTTAAAAATATTTAAACACGCTTACATTGCTTTAATCACCAAAATTTATAATTAAAATAAAAAATTGCAAAATTGATAATTTAAAACGTTCTAAGAAAAGTTGGTATTTATTTTTTCAACGAAATTTGAAAGTTTGCGAATTTATAACATTTTTTGAACTTATTTTCGGAATTAAATTTCTGAAATTTCTCAGTCACAAAACGACGACTACTCTCCTTTAAACTAAAATTACATAAATACCCCTCAAAATCCACAGATCACTACTATTCAACTGTTTCGTCTACCTTCTCCTTTCCCTCTTCCCAACCTACACATTACCATTCCCATATTAAAATCCACAAATCTCAAATCCCCAAAAACCCAAACCCTAAAATCGAAAACAATGAAATGTTACAAAAGCTCATCAATTCTCTCAACCAATCACCACCCATTCTTCTACAAACAACAACCAATCTCATCCCTTCAACCATCTTCCTTCCCATCAACTCTCTCTTACCCGACCCGAACCCGCTTCTCCTCCACCCGAATCCAATCTCGACTAACCCACGACGATCCAGTTAAACAATCGAAAGACTTATCCTTCTACGATCTTCTCGGCGTCACCGAATCAGTCACACTCCCAGAAATCAAACAAGCTTATAAACAACTTGCTCGTAAATATCACCCCGATGTTTCTCCTCCGGATCGTGTCGAAGAATACACAGATCGGTTTATTCGAGTTCAAGAAGCTTACGAAACTCTCTCCGATCCTCGCCGGAGAGTTTTATATGATCGTGATTTGTCTATGGGGTTTTCGTTTTCTTTCTCCGGTAAACGCCGGAACCGTTACGATGAGGTAATTAATTACTAATTAAAAAAATGAATTTTATTAGTCTCACTCAATTTTTGTGATGAACAAAATTTTTGAAGTTATTATGGTTTAGAAAATTTAAGAGTTATGCAATAATTTTAGTTTATGTGTTATTTGATAAATTTATCCAAGTGATGTTGATGTTCTTGATTTGGATATTTTTTTGGTTCATATGTGGACAAATCACAAATAGTGTGTGGTATTATCCTCAAAAATTCTATTTTTATTCTTTTATTTCGAATTTCAAGATTTACTCGGTAGATTCAAGAACCTTTTATGTGTATCCTTGTCGACAGAATTGACCTTATCTTTATTATGGTCCAATAAATTGACTCATGTGTCAATTATTAAGGTGACAAATTAAAGAATGGACTAGTAGTGGAATAGAGAATAATGTTGAGAAAAATGAACTCATTGGTCCTTTATTTGGTACAATCATTCATGGGTCCCTAATGTTGAATATGCAAGTATTTATAATTTGGGTTTTGGTGATTGTTGTGAAAGCAGGAAGTGGTGGAAGAGAAGAGTGAGTGGAAGGCAAAATGGCAAACTCAGCTCTCAGGGCTAAGGAGAAGAAGCAATCAGAAAGACAATAACTCAATGTCTTGGGCTGCTAGAATGCGCCGTCAACAACAAGATTCCTCTTAACACACAACATCATGTCTTTAGCCTCCTTACGTATAGTCTTTTAATTGTTTGTGTGTAATATAGAAAGCATAGCATCAATACCAAGAAACTTTGTATATATGTATACACTTTTCTCTGTGCCTTTACCAATCGGCAAGCACATTAAATAGATAAATACCCTAATTATAAGCTTCTTTTGGTTGTGCCTTTTAAGTTTTACGTTTTGAGTGGAGAACAGATTTCAAGCTGTGGCAGCAACATTTCTAATGGTCATTGATTGTATTGTAAACACTCTATTTTCATACGTTTCATAACCGCTTGTTTCATCTATTCACATTTTCACCACTCATTTCATCCGTCCGTTTCAACAAACTATGCCATCCGTCCGTCCACTCCACCCGTAACCAACGAGGTCTCTGAACATTCGATAGCCTTAATTCATGTAAAGATGTTTGCTTCCAAGTTCCAACTACTTCTTCTAATCACTTTCTCCGACCACTTCTTTTATAATTCCTAAGACCGTCTCCAATGTATTTTCCTATTTTTGCCTTTAAAATAGAGGAACTCTATAATAGATGTGAGTTTTATTTCAATGTAATCTTCTAAAAAAAAATAACTTTATTATATAAAAAAAAATAGAGATCCTCTATATATAGAGCAAAAAATAAAAATCTATTTTGGAGTGGATTTTACTCTATAACAGAATATAAAGGTAAAAATAGAGGTAGGTTGGAGATCGTTTTACTCGTACTGTTACTGATCAAACCCACTATTACAAATACAAAAACAAATACATTGCTCTAGTTACTTTAAATAAATTATTTAATTTTACAACAACGTTACAAATTACAATCCAACAGAACACAGAGATAAATAAAATCACCAGAAACTTTACTGTTTTTTTAAAAAAGATAACAAACACTCACTCATCATCACTTCACTGATTACCACTTATAAGCCATTTGATATTTCTCTTCTCACGGCGCGATCAATTCAAACCAAACTTCTTAAATTCCAACTTTACCCTCTCAATCTCCTCCTCCGGCAACGTCACCGTCACCATCCTCTCCTCTGATTTCGCCGCCGCGTAAACAACCACCAATCCCTCCTCCCCTATCCCTTCAACATTACAATAAACCGACTCCGGCGACTTCCCCATCACTTTCGCCTCATACAAATCCTCACCACTCAGATCCAAAAACGTCAATTTCGCTCCATAAACAACAAAATCCAAATTCCCATAACAACTCTCTCCGATCTCCTCAATTCCACTTCTCTCATCCTTCGCTTCCCCCATAGCTTTCACCAATTCCTCCACCGTCGCATCCGCCACCGGAAAATCAACTTGAACTGAGCTTATCACCTGACTGTTTCGAATCGCGTTAGGTTTCAGATCGTTCGGATCCTTTTTGATGATCGTAACGGTCACAGGCTTTGGCTCTTCCCTAACCTTAGCTATGCATTTCCATATGATCCCGGCGGTAATCTCGAACACCGGAATCGGATCAGCTCCCTTCGCCGGAAAATGTGGTTGTATCTGATCGGCGACGACGATTTTGAAACAGTAATTCGCCATTTTCTTGTCGTTTGGAGTGACCCAGAGATCTCCAACCGGGTTGACCCGTTTAATTGAATCCGGGTCTTTAACCGTCGGGTTTGGACTTTGGAACCTTCTGTCTCCCTTAGAGAGTGTTGGGACATGAATCTTTTCGCCGGTAATGAGCTTAGCCCATAAGTTGAAGGCATAGAATAGAGAGAATGAGTCTCCTATTATATTGGCCCAGCTTAGGCCCAAACCTAATCCTCCGCATTTAAACCGGATCATCTGCGGAAATCAAACCGATATAAAATTCAGTTTCAAACAGATTTTGCAAACCAACATAAATCAGTTTCAAACCCATTCATTATAAGATGCAATCCGAGAACCAATTCCAAATTTTGGATATTTGAAAAGTTTTGAAAAATTTTCAGAGTACGTAGTTGAAATTGATCCAAATCGCCTAAATATATTAAAAATATATCTTTTTAACTTTTTTTTTTTTGAATAACAATGAAGTTTTGGGCTCAGACCGAAGACCAAACATCAAAACATTTTTTTATAACATTTTTGGATCGACAAGGTACGATCTACAGTCAATCCAGACTACGTGGGGTAACGAGACTGAATGGAATCAAACCCCGGTAAGAATGGTGGAGTCAAATGAACTTAACCACTTGACTAAAAACGCATCCCTACATCCAAATATTTAATATAGTTACTTTCTAAGTATCACTCGAACCAACGACCGTTTGAGATACTTTATAAGTTCGTTAATGTATTGACACTTTATTTTTTTAACTTTCACATTTTTATATATCTATTTTCTTGTATTTTTGGATCCACACATTTGGAAGTCACTGATCCATTTGGATCTAGATATTTGAAAGTCGGGTCCAACAAATCCGTTCCAATCTAGTTCACAATACAACTTTGAAAAGTCCGAATGTTTTATTAAATTTGGTACACCTACCTACACAGTGGCAGTGTGTTTTTCATGCAAGTTAATGGTACGAACAGGATCTTTCGTGTATTAAATTCTGTTGTGACAGTTCATGCATTAAATGTTTTAATATGTTCTTTGTCTTTCTTGATTAGGGCATATGGTTCGAAAGACTAGTGAAACCCAATATAGATTTCTAACCTAGATTAGGGAATAATTGCCTTTTTCTAACTCTATAAATCAGACCCCATCAACATGGTTTGTCATTTTTTCTTCTTCTTTCTGCTAAATGTTACAAGTGTCTATAGATGGAAATAATATACTCCTAGTGTTTTCTATACTTTTTTCTTTTCTTTTTCACACTTTTTTTTATTGATGTTATTAGCAAAGATAAATTGTGAGGAAAAATCAGTCCATCTCAATAAAAACACAAATTTTTGAAAAGTATACACATATTTTCTGTCAACTGGAGAACTTAAAGATTGAATAAATACTTGTTTTGGTAAAGGGTTCAAGATTGAATAACGCAAATACCATATCATGTTATATAGCCATTTTTAGACCTTTGGTATAGTTAAATATATATGTCTCAATCAATACTAAATGTGTGTATTATTTAGATAGAGAGAGAGAGCAATGCATGTGTGAACTAAAGGAATATACAAACTAAAGAAGAGAAAATTTTTGTAGTCAGATGATACCTGAACATAGATCAAAGGTGAGAACGTCAACTCCGGTCCAATTGGTTGATGGTAAATCAGAAACTCATCAACTGACCGGTCCGGTTTACTGAGCCACTCTTCCACCGTGAGATTGCATTGACCTTCCACGAAACGCGTGCCACAGTCGTTGCACTTGATGTACGGACGGCCCGAGTCTTTCCTTGAGAACCTGCCTGTGGTCCAAGCGATCTGGTCGAACAACATGAACATGGCCTCCTTCAGGTGTCTCACGGTTAAGTCACGTGCTGTCTCGGCTGAGTAAATGTAAGCCGCCTTGAGGTAGTGGAGCTTCATGGCTAGGTCTAAACCGGTTGGTTCGTGGGTCGTACCGGTCTCTGTCGGCCGGATCGCACCCACGGTCGATAACCGGATGCTATGAACCGGACCTTGTCCCTGTCCCCATTCTAGAGATCGACCCATGATGACTAAGTGGAGTTGGACTGATACTACGTGATCTTTGAAGTTAACAAGTCGATCGATGTATGTAACACTTCAACAAAGAAAAAAAAAAAAGCAAATTTGTTAACATAAATTATATGAAAATTTGCCTTTGTTTGGACATTTATCTCTCTCTCTTCTTTGTAATATAATCTTTCTAGGTGATGAATGTAATGTGATGAGGCTCTTGTGTTAAATAGAGAAGAATGATGGTGTTAATTAACTTGTTAATGACACGAGTAGGTGTGAAACTGTTTAATTAATAGCCTTTCTTTTTTCCCGATAAGGTCCATGACCAAAGGATCCAATTCATCGTTTATATACTTTTAATATTTATCAACTACTTCTTTTATGTCTATTTCTGCATTTAAAATAAAATTGCAATACCAAAATAAATCGACAAAAATAATACAAACCAACAATCTATTATATATGTATATATAATTTACGTAAATTATACATTATTTAGTTTTCTGATGGTTGATATACTGTATATACTTATTTATCTCGTGATTAACTTATACATATATTTTAGATTTGTTTTTGTTTTAAAACCATATACGTAGATATGATGATGCTGATGATGATGTCGTGTTAGTCGGTGATAGGAACGATTATCTTCCACTAAATTAATGGTAACTATTTAATATATAAGATTCTGATTTTGGTATTAGGAACAAACTTTAACAAACAAATACTCCACCAACAATATCGACATTGAAATGTGGAACAAACATTGACGTGGATGTCAAGTTAAAAGCAAAACGTTGGTTCTACGGGGTAAATAATTGTAAATTTCTCAAAGAAGAAAACTCTTGTTCTAGTTTCGATATACGGTGATAGAGAATATATTGATTTACCCTGTTTTGAGGAGACTACGAACCGGTCGCCCAAAACATTTTGGTGTATTTAAAAAAAAAATACTAAAACCAAGAATGAGCTGAAGTAAACTAATCATGCAGCCTGAAAAAACCATGTTAGAATTCGAACATCGATGTTCAATGCTTACTCGAACCCAGGTGACAGAAACTTTTCTCTTTTACTACTAGTGTAAGCCTCAGGACAACTTGGTTTAAACTGAACTAATTGTGAATTTTTTTTTATAATATCAATACCATCTATTAACGCGGGTGGGTGATACATTAATGACATTAACAAAAGCCACTAGAATGATTACATATCCTAATCAACTTTTATTTCACTTTTTATATATATAATCAAAATATAGTGTATGCTGGTTAGATGAGGAAAAAGCTATAGTTACGTTAAAAAATGGACTCATATTCCTTCAAAAAAAAAAAAAACAAAGATTCATCTTCTGTTATGCTTTATTAGTAAAACCAATTTATCTAATAATTTATCAAAGTTTAGTTATATATATAGAGAAAAGCAAAACTAAATCTTCTTACAGTTTTAAGATGAATCAAAAGGCATGAGGCCTAGCCAATTAAATCAGATGGCGAAAAAAAAAAAAAGCCAATTAAATCAGATTTTAGGATTTTCTGTTACAATGTTTGGGTTAACTTATATATATATATTAACTACTAGTCATTTAATCTTATGTTAGTTTAGCTAACTATTTTGCTCAATATACATCAACTATTCCATTATGTTCTAGTGGTCCAGAATTCATTTTGTGGATCTAGCTAGTTCAGAGTTCAAGTGAATTATTATTCCCCTACACTTACAAATTTCAATCATGGATGAGTGTAGGGTATTTTTTTAACAAGATCCGAATTAAACAAAGTTTGCATGACAGCTCGGCCAAACATGCCAGAAACATACACGAAAACAGACGACGGCAGATACTTTCTCAAATAAAATTAACTCCAAAAAAAGGCTACGTGTAAGCAACATGTGACTTCGTTCTCAAGTCATTAACTACACTTTGAGCTATATTAAAAAGCTCTATTGCTAGTAGCAGGGCCGGCCCAGACCTAAAGCCCAGCAAGCAGATGCTTTAGGCATCAAATTCTATATGTATTTTAAAGGGCATCAAAATTACAAAAGTGTCTTGTAGTCTAGTGGTATTTAGGTCACTTAAGGATAGATTGTTGAGGGTTCGATTCCTGGCAACTGTAAATTTTAATTTTTTTTATTTTTAGTTGTTGTAAATGGGCATCAAATTTTGTTGGGCTTTAGGCATCATGAATCTTTGGGCCGGCCCTGGCTAGTAGATGGATAATCAATTGTTCAGTAAGCTAACTAATTAAGGTTTAGAACGATTATTATATTTTACAGTTTATATGGAAAAATATCTGGATTTTTTATCATATAGTACTACCGGAAATTAATGTAGGTTTACCCAATTATTAAAGAAATATTTTCGGAGGTTAGGCTAAATTTTGTTAAACAGTCGACGTTTGTAATCATTTCATTTGTTTCTACTTCTAGTAACAAGAGTGATAGCTTTAGATAATTTCATGCACGGGAATAGTTGGTTGACTGATAATCGCATTTAATGCATTTTCTATTAAGCAGATTTAAAATTTTGTAAATATAGGAACCCTTCATAACTTCTTGCAACTTTATTTATCCAAGAAAAACAGTTGATGGTCTACTTTTCTTTTACTTGGCAGTTGGCAAATATTGTTTCTTTAATCATAATTTTGATAAAAAAATTTTATAAACCTTCTTTTTTTTTTGGACGAAGAAATTTCTATAAATCATTTTTCGTTTATAACTATAAAATTACGAGAGGAAAAGGTTGAAAGTACTTTTATTGATCTACTTATGAATGTACTGTCTTATTAAGTAGATCTATGCCAGATTAACGTTATAAATTAGTAACCTTTACGATAAGGTTTTTCTTTTTTTTGAAAGAGGGTTTAGCTTTTATTATAAGGTATTAAGGCTTGGTCTATGCATTTAACAGTGAAATTAATGAAGGTTATTAGTTGTATCTTGCGTGAAATGTGGTTGAACGAAATAAAAGACTGAAAATTTGGCAATATAATTACTTAGTTCACATATGCAGTCGAGCATTTGTCTCTTGAGCACTAGTTTCTATCATTTATTCTTTTTTTTTCTCCCTTATTTAGTTGTATCATCATGTCTATTAATTAAAACTCTAAAAACTGGCCACCGTAATTGACAGCAAATAAGGCAACCAAACAATAGACGCCAATCAAAGCCTATTTTCAAAGAAAGTGTAATTTTGAAACCCGAAAAGATAGTTTAAAGAAAAAAAATAGACCTATAAATAAAACTTACTTTGAACGAAAACAATATGATCGATGATATACGTTTGAATTGTTTTCTATTTGAATTAGATAACTCCTAGTTCTTGTAAGAACATGTTTCAGCTTGTTTTATCTTAACCCAAAATGGTAAAGATGTCTTAGGCTGCAAGTAATGTTGAAGCTTATCCAACAATGAGATTGAGTATGAATATCTTTGAAGAGTTCTTTAGTCGGCAAATTCCAAGCCTTTATATATGTTTTTGGAAAATATTCTTCCTCTCATACTAATTTTCCGGTATAATGGTGATTTGGGGATTCCGAACTCATGAAAACTTAGCACACAGAATTTGAGACACTTGCAAGAATTGAGGGGATAAGTTAGAGACTCTCCATGAAAGACAAATGCATATGTGTCCATGAGGGAAACTTGCTCTAGATCTTGTCAATTACTGGTGCATACTCCAAAGAAACCATGGAATCATTGGTGAAAGGTGTTGGTGCAGGAATTAGCACCTCCGACAATACCGGCTTAAACCGGACGAATTACGAATAAATCTGAGAATTCAGTTAAACCAGAGAATCCCGGTTAGGTCTGTTAATGGGTCAGAGAAAGGAGGTCGCCTGGCGAGCTCGACTCGAAGAAAGGAGATCGCCTAAACCGACTTTTTCGTTCAAGAACAGGAAGATTTTCCTTACAAGAAAAAGAGAATCGCGAAAAGAAAGGAAAAGCAGAAGATAAGGCCTTGAAGATTTGGAAGATTAACATATCTCTAAACCGCCTTAATTATGTATAAATAGAGGGGTTTGTCCTCTATTCAAGGATCCGCAATTTTACACAAAAACCCTAGTTTTTCCAATTGTTTTTGAGCTAAACTCTAACGTTGTTTCTAAGAAATCAAATTCACCCCTTTTATTTCGAGTCTTTGATCACAAATAGCAAGAGAGTTAATTGAATTTGTTTTTCCCCTTTAAAAAAAATTCATTGTGTGATTTTCTGAATTAACAAAAGGTAATCCAAGATATCAAATAAGAAAAGATGCAACAGAGATCTTTCAACATCCCAGAAAGTTCTAATTATTTTCTATGTAAATATATTTGGCTAAATACGCATTTAATGATGGGATGGTTGAAGATCCAAATCTCATGGCATAAATTCGTAGAAGTTCTGGATTCAATTCAATTTGGACTTTTGGACCTTCGCATAAGTGCTTTATCTGAAGTGAGCTTGCTCCTCTGGGTTTACTTACCTTCAGATTAGTTGTCGGGCTTGACTCAGAAACTGGTACTAAAGAATATATGTTAACATAACAAAACAACCATTTACATCACCATTGGTAAAGTATGTGGTTTCAATGCAAGAATTCAAATGTTATAGTCATTTCAACATATTATATTATCCTAGTTCAGTAAAAAAAAAAAAAAAAAAAAACTAAAATCTTAAGTAGTATTTTTTTCATAATCTATAACCTTACATTGTTGTTGGTCTCTCTACTAATTCATCTTCGATAGACTATCCACAGCAAAAAAAAAAAAGTAGTTCATCTTAAACATTTTAATATGCTTTGCAGCCATTTTAAAATTTGTTTATATCCATCAAAATCAATATTTTCATTGTACAAAATGAAAAAGAGCTTGATAATATCAATACTACTGAAAACGGACACTTAACAATTCATGAAAAAAAAATCACAATAATGATTTATTACTATAATTAATTTTTTTTTTCTGAAATAAAATCTCAGATTTAATCCATGAACAAATATCAAAAACCAAATGTTAAAATTTCAAAAATAGAAATGATTGGTCTTTCACTCTCTTTCATGAAAATACCATTTTAGATTCTCCCAAACAAATTAAACCAAAGATATTACCAAACTAAGCCAGAAATAAACCAGCTATAAACTCACTAATAAATACCTTAGAGCATGATTATAGATACTCTCTTAGAAATAGATCTTAGCAATATTTAAATAATTTATTTGTAAAAGTGATTGTTAAGAGATAATATTTTTGAGTTAAGATTTTTGTGTGATTAATGGTAGGCTCTTAACATGTGGTTCTTAGAGAAAAAATATTAAAATAAAATTTATAATTATAGAAAATTTAATAATTGTTGCAAATTAAATTTACAATTATAGAAAATTTAATAATTGTTGCAAATTAAATTTATAATTATAGAAAATTTATAATTGTTCATGATGTATATGTTACACCTAGAATAGTTTTTGTCATGCGAGACGAGAAAAAGAAGACACAAATATGAAACAAAATCAACTCATTGACCAAATTATATCACAATACAAAAGGATATTACCACAACTTTAGATTACAAAATGAGAATTGCAGGTAAGAAAAGGATCAAGCCTACTCTGCTTAAGTCGCCTTTCGATTGACTTTCAAGTATGGTAGAGCTCCGATCACATTGTCATAGTCGCTCCGGTTCACTTCGGTCTGCATTATAGAAGCAGAATACAAAGCTAAACATGTAAGAAAGAAGAGGGAAAAGAACAGAGTAGTGAAGTTGCTAATGAACATAGCCAAAACAAGTAATAACTTGAACTTGTGATCATCGTATTGATGCCATAAGTTTTTACTTTCCTGTTTTTACTAGTTAATGATAATAGATGTCTCCCTAAATCACATTTCTAAGTGAACCGTGCATTTACTACCAATTCCATTCAACAAAGACATTACACCAATCAAGAAAAGCAAAAATCTTTGCTTTACCAATTAAAACCTTCTAAAGCTAACATGAACTTCACAGTTTCAGTAATCTTAAACTTCACTAGATATACTCTTAAGTCTTAACACTATGACACCAATAGACACAAGAATAACCAGTGAACCGATCAACCTGAGAGACATATTCAAACACTTAAAGAACATCATATAATTGAATTCAGATCATTCTGATCTTCTCATTACCAAAACCTGCATCGGATTATCACATCATCAAGCAATAAGACATTGATTCCTTTTCACTTCTTCTTGTCCATTCATCTAATAAACAGAGCAAAACAGAACCAAAGGTTAGAATCTTATTAATCAATTTTCATGACTTTCAAGTCTAAATCAAGATAGAATCTTTAACTAGTGATGCTGATAATACGATTAATCACTCAAAGATTCAACATCAGATTCTACTACGACTAAAATCAACAAAAATCCATCAAGATAATTCAGTTTATCACAAACGATTCAAGACTAACAATCTGTATCATTCATTTCTCGATAAATCTTCTGTTTGATGCCAAATTAGAGGATCAAGCATCGATACACAACAAAAATTTGAGATTAATAACTTACAAAGCAAAATCTTCATTGAATTGGAAATTGCAGGGGAAAAAACTCTTAGAAAGTGAAGAAGGAAAGTGATACTCTGATACGAGCGGTGGCATCTTGACCGGATTGAAGAAGAACAGCGATGTCACGCCTCATTTGCTTCACCACAACTAATCTCTTGTTCCTTAGAAGCTTTATCCGAGCCACATCCATCTTCGCCGCCGTTTTGCTTTTCTCCGATGAAAAAAAACAAGAATTTCATCAGATGCTTAATCTTAGTCAAGCCAAGATCGGAAATTTCTCAGACACAGATCAAAATTAATCATCTGTTTTCGCAGTCGGCAAAGAGAGAGATCAAAATTTTGCCGAATTTGTGAAAAGAGAGAGCCCTCGACAACCACCGTCGCTGGGGATGATGAGGTCACGCGGCAACGACGGCCAGAGGTAAAAACAGAGCCGATTTCTCCGATTTTGGGTCGATTTAACGGAATCGCCTTCGTTTCGATTTCATCGTTGAAATCGCGAGAGAGAGAGAAAGAAGAGAGAGACGGCGAAAAAAAAGAAGAAAACACGATTTCGTTTTTTTTGGGGTTTATATATTTTATGCTTCGATAGCTGATACGCTGACACGTGTCCACCTCTTAACTTTGTTTTTGTTCCTTAGCTAAGGAACGTTTGTTAGACTTAAAGCACATTCCAGATTAAATTATATTGAATTTAATCTTAAGAAAAACCTAAGATTTCTCTAAGAACCCTCCTATAATCATGGTCTTATGCAGTTTCAAAGTTTTTTCTTTTGTGTAGTAAAATTAATGTTTACTAGTCAGTTTGAAATGAGTATTGAAAATAAAGAAATAAATCAAGAAATAATCATATAGAAACTGAAAAGGATGTAACATATAAAGAGGTGCCTCATATATTGAAATTGGTTGCACATTAATCTATAACCGTGAATAACGTTGATATCAAGATAATAACAATCAATCAGGACCACTACACACGGTTTGCTAAGACGAACTTAAGAAGATTGTGAAGTAAGATTGAGACTATTTTTGATTTTTACATGAATATAACGATCCATCATTTTTCCAGAAGCAATTAGCAAAAATGACAATAAATTCATCAGAAATTAGAAAAACAGTATTGATGTGACCACAAACATTTATTAGACGATTTTAACTGTTAATTATAGGATGCACAATTTTGTTTTCTAACATGTTATTTCTATGTGAATACACAATACATAAATTATAGTCCATAATTTTATTTTTTACCATATTATTTATAAATATGGTATTTTGTTTTCTAATCTAGTAGATTTGTTTTTCCATTACCTAAACATCCACAAATTAAAACAGACATCGATATTAAAAATCACAAGTTTTTTTTTTTAAATGACATGTTATAATTACGAATTTGATAAGAAATGAAAAGTAAAATTATTCAAGAATTGATTGTTGTCTCCTCATTGCTATTTTGCTAATTTATGTTGAAGTTATTGTAATTTTACAAAAAAAAATAAAAAATTAAGACACATGTTTGATTTCTTGTGCTTTTGCTATTTTGCATGCTTATGTTTTCGATAGTTTGCGAGTTCTGACTAACAATTTTTTTTTAAAAATTAAGATTGGATTACTATGCACATATATAACCCTCAAAAACAAATATGATATTTTTTGTTCTATTACTAATAAGTAAACTTCAAAATGTCAAGTGTTATATAAAAATTGTTCATGGCTTGTTGTGCAACCACAATACCCATCTGTTTCCTAACAAAAGTTAGAGTGTCCATTTTTCTTTTTTTCTTTGAGCAGATTTCTAAATACACATGTGACATGTATATGCGAGGTCAGCGGAGAATTTAGTTAATTCTATATGTAAACGTTATTACCTAACTCTAAAAACGGTCACCACATCCTTCTTCATGCTATAACCACCTGTAAAATGGGAAAGCGTCAGTTATGCCACAAATTGAGAAAAAATGATCTCGCCTGCCATTCATTAATCTGAATGCCACTCATAATATGAAATTCCTCAATTACTCTTAATGAAATATATCAATATATTTAATTCAAAACAAAGTAAAACAAGAATATATATATAAATTAAAGTGGTCCCACATATAATAAAGTCGGCCTGACACGATAAAATATTAATAAAATTTATGTATTATAATTACAGTTGCACGTACGTTTATCTTCATAGTTGTACTTTGACGATTTTTACGTATTTGTAGTTGTACCTTAATATAAATTTTTATGTTGTAGTTGACCACGAGATTTTCTACTTTTAGTTATCATTTAGAAGGTTTTAGTAATACTATTTTCACGAAATCATGGTTTTTTCCTTTTTGGCATTATAAGAGAAAGACATCTCTTCTTTGCTCCGTTCTGCTTCTCCTCATAAACCCGAGCTCAGCTCGCCCGCCTATCTCGCTGGTCGTCACTTCTTCTGATCAGATTAGAATCAGACATATGATGAATAGTATAACTAAAAAATAATAGGACAACTGGTACAAATGATACAACTGTAACATTTTGTGTAATTTGTAATTATGTTTTATTTTATTTTATTTTCATGAAACAATGAGGATACCAAAAGTATCTTGAAATGTAAAAAAACAAATTTAAATCAATAAAATATAAATTTATAATTTTTTTAATACATATTCTTGTTTTCACATAAAACACTTCTTATATTGTAAGGAAGACTTTGTAAGTGGTCCCTCTCTATAATACAAAAGTTGTGAAAACTATGATTTTGTGCAAATTTTACTATAAAAACCTCATAAATGATAATTAATGGAAAAAAATTATATGACCAACTACAACATAATAATGTATATCTAGGTCCAACTAAAAATACGCAAAAATTATCAAAGTACAACTATGTGGATGAACGTACAACTGTACATATAGGGACAACTATGATTATAACACACAATATTTTATTAATATCCCGCCGCCAAAGATATTAATAAGTTGTGAAAACTATGATTTTGTGCAAATTGTACTATGAAAACCTCATAAATGATAATTAATGGAAAAAAATTATTTGACCAACTACAACATAATAATGTATATCTAGGTCCAACTAAAAATACGCAAAAATTATCAAAGTACAACTATGTCGATGAACGTACAACTGTACATATAGGGACAACTATGATTATAACACACAATATTTTATTAATATCCCGCCGCCAAAGATCCGCTTTACCACACGTGGGATCTCTTTGGATACTTTTCAAAAGTTAAAAAATTTTGAAATTTCTCTTAATTCCTCTATTTTTTTTTTAGTTTTTCGGTGGAGATTTTTAATCCAATTTTATTTTATTTTTGCAATTTTTTTACACACGTAGTTATACTTTAATGTACCAGTTGGACCAAAAATCATTACTTTCTTGTATGTAACCCAGAAACGTAGTTGTACCTAGATATACCAATTGATTCTGGATTATCAAATGCTCCTGAAGCCATTGTTACATAAGGTTCACCGGTTCAGTGTGAGATGCAGACCCAAAAGCATCCTCGGTAGCAGAATGATTGTCTGACATATTGTAATCTTCTCCATGAGAAATCCAAACTGAATAGTTAAGCATGAATCCTCGGTTATATAAGTGGTTCGTCACGGTCATCTCAGGCAACATTTTTCCATTCTCACACTTAATACAAGGACAAAAGATATTTTGATAGCATAACTATAACAAACCAGAGATTTTATGCCGATTTTGATACTTTTATGCTTTCACATCAAGGCATTCTTTAACCTAATCTATGAGCCTATATATACTTCCATCCCTAACCTCTCATATCATCATCAATCACAGCCTAAACACCCCACTATACCCTAAATTCATTCTCAAACAATGGCGCCTACATTTGCTTACTACAGAAGCTCAAATTAAGAACTACACTCTTCAGGAGATAGAGAAAATTATGTTGTTTAATGGAGGAACTATAGAAGATTTTGAACATTTTCCTAAGCCTACAAGAGAGGGTAATGATAATTCAAACCGTCTACTTGTTGATGAGTTGAGATATAACCGTGAGAATCCAACTTGAAAGAAAAACATGCAGAATGGAGAGAGATGCTAACGCCTGAACAGAGAGGTATATACAATTAAATAACTGGGGCAATTTTCAATGATTTAGGAGTTTTTTTTTTTTTTTATGGTTCTGGAGGAACATTAAAAACATTTATTTGGAAGACACTAGCTGCTGCTATTAGATGTAGAGGACATATATGTCTTAATATCGAAAACACTTGTAATCAAGAAATTGAGATTAAGGTAATCAAGAAATAATATAATATTCAACTAAATGTCGAAGAAAACGACATAAATTTATACACAAAAATAGAAATAATACATCTAAATAGGATATAACACACTTAGCCAACAACAAGGTCATCAAACAATTTTGGAAGACACCACCAAAAAGAAAGCAAAAATATAATTATGATACGAGAAAATATCAAACAATCAATGATAAATAGATCAATTTGGATGTCAATGTGGTTACTTTTTTTTTTTTATCAATACCTTGTAATTCCCAAAAGGCACATTCAGTTCTACTCATACCAATCATCTTAAACTGAGAATTTTCAGTACATAAGCCAATGAGTGTTTTTTTGTTTAAAGCTTTTAAAGAACTTGGACATTTCTTTGACATCCCATTAGTTGGACTGATTATAGCACAATCTTGCACAAACCCGGAATAGACGAAACTATTTAAACAATTTATATAGTAGTGATCATTTGTGTGTGAGAAACTAGTTGTTGTTTCTAAATGGAAAATAACTGAAATCTCTGCTAAAATTTCAGAAATGATAAGCTCTTTTATAACGTGAGATTTTCGTAAAAAATATATTTTTTGAAAACTAGTTTTCGTAGTATTGTTTTAAACACTGGTGCGTAAAAACAAATACTCGTTAAGGAACCCAATACATAATTTCTTCTATAAACGTAAAAATAAAATATAATATTCTTTTGTTCCATTGCTAAAAATTCCAAAGTATCAAGTATTGTATAAAGATTGCTCTACCACAATATAATTACCCTTCGTTTTTGAGCAAAAATTAGTGTGATTTTTCTTTAACAGATTTCTAAATAGACGTGTAATAAGCTAGATCGCATATTTGCTGCTCTAAAACAAAAGACAGACACATGTGTTCAATAATGGTTTTACCGAAATGGGGTGTTAAATATATATGGCATTTATATATTTTGACATTATTGAAAATAAAATGTCTATATATGTATTAATTATAATCCATCCGTTTCATAATATAAGACGTTTTAGGTAAAAACACGCCGATTAAAAAGATTTACTTTTTAAAAATTCAACCAATCATAAAAAAGACAGAATAATATAAATAATCATAAAATATTAAAGTAATACATAATTTGTATTGAAACTCGAAAATGACTTATATTGTGAAACAAATTTTTTTATCCAAAACGCTTATATTATAAAATGGAGGGAGTAGCGGAGTAGTTCAATAATCAAATAGCTAAAAAAACTTCAACCACAAAGTTTATGCGAAATAATTATAAATTTTTAAAATACTAACTAGATCCGGATCCGCATTTACTTGCGAGATTTTGTTAACATGATAATTTATATGTATATTATTGATGTCATTTGAGCTTAGAATTTGAGTATACCAAATTAAATTTGTTAGGATTATGAACAAATTATTCATAATTGAGAAATAATATGACTGAAATGAATTTGAAAGTAAACGAACACAATCGATAGATAAAAGAATGAGTTATGTTTAGTTTATATAAAAATTTAGTCGGATATTGGATGGATGAATTATATTGAGCTGGAACTGTCAAGGAATAGGGGCTGAACTGAAAGAGAACTTCTTAAAGGATTTATGGAGAGAGCACAAGCCGGATATCTTATTTTTATTGGAAACAAAAAAATGCCTTTCTTATTTAAAGAAATTCCAAACTTCTTTTGGTTTTAATAATTTGTATTCAGTTGATCCTCGTGGTGCTAGCGGAGGATTAGCTTTATTTTATAGTAATGAAATAAAATTGGAGATTCTTTATGCAAGCAATCGAATTATTGATGTTAAAGCATTTTTTGGGAAACAAATAGTGTTTATGTCGTTCGTTTATGGTGATCCTGTTGCCACAAAACGCGAAATGGTTTGGGATAAAATAACCACTACAAGAAATTAATTTTATTGAGACATAATATTTCGTCACTATGCCAACAAATCCGTAACAATAAAAATACCGTGACGAATTTGTGACTAACTGTAAACGGTTGCAATACATTCGTCACAAATTTTTTTCAGTATCAAAAACGTCACAAACATTGTGACGTTATATTTGGTAACTGTTTTGTCACAAACATCGACGAGAAATAAAAGTAACAAAACTGTCATATTTACCGACTGTAATTAGAGTCTTAAAACCGTCATATGTCGTGACTATCAAAACGTCACAGTTCTGTCACTAATTAAAACGAAAATATAGTAACTAAATCGTTACTAGTGATGACGAAAAAATCGTTGCTTTATCGTCACATCTACCGACTAAAAACATCGTCGAAAAATCGTCATATGTCGTGACTATCAAAACGTCACATTTTTGTCACATATGAAAACGGAAATATAGTTACTAAATCGTTACTAATGATGACTTAAAAAGCGTCACAATTATGTCATTTCTTACAACGGAACTATAGTCACTAAATCGTCAAAAGTTCCGAGTAAATCATCGTCACCAAAATGTAATACTTTGTGACAATCATACCGTTCCAAGACTGTCTCTAGTTATAACTAAAAAGACGTTATCAATCGGTTCTCATTTCCAACTATTTAACCGTCCCAACTTCGTCACATTTTATTACCACAAATCAATCATAATCTTTCATAATTAAGAAACTATTTGACACTTATATTAGTCACTATCTTTACTAAATTATTTTCAGAATCTGTGATTTTTTCTCCTATAAATTTTCATATATAGTTGATTAAAAAAAATTAGATTAATAAATAAACTGAAAATAAATTACGAAAGCAACATCTAATTTAAAATTGTCTAAAAAGAAACAAACGTGATATGGTCTAAAATGAAAGCAAAGTGAAGTAAATAAACCAAATCAAAGTAAAACCAAATAAAAACCAAAGTCAAGCCATATTACATGGTCTAAAATGAAAGCAAACAGAAGCAAATAAAACAAATTAAAGTAAAACCAAATAGAAACCAAAGTCAAGCCATATTACGTAGCACGAGAAAATGGAGAAAACCCCATGGGAGCTTGTGGAGAAGAAGAACTTCCTACAGGTGGAGGAGGTGGAGCTGATGCATCTAACCCATTCTGACGTGCAAGAGTTTGAATTAATTGCTCCACAGCTTCGAGTCGAACAAGCACATTAGCTTCACGACTCTTTTGCAGTTCAGCTTCTAGTTCTTTCACTCGGAGAGTTAATGCTCCCACTTCTTCAGTAGCTTGAGGGGGAACTAGGGAACCATCTGACATGGAAACCCCACTTTGAAGTGATCCAAGTCCAAATACACGACCTTGTTTTGATATTCCAGCAATCTAGAAAAAAAACATAAAATCATGAATATTGACAAATTTTAAAACACAAACTCCTTCAAAGATCCAAGAAAGCAAAGTAGATTCAAGTGAAAGCAAGTGAAAGTTACCTTGACATAGATTTCATTTTTCTCTTCTATGCTAAGGGAATCCATTGTCAAAACCTCTCCATTGGAGGAATCCGCTTGTGTCAAGCGTTCAAGAAGACATTCATCATATATTGTTCAGCAATTAGTCTTGCTCTTTCATCAACATATGTTCCATCAGATTTTTGGTGTGTTGCTCTCATCACAGCAATGAAGGAAGAGTCTTCATTATTCGCTTCCTGAGAACAAAACAAAAAAAAAGTAAATAACTCTTATGAAACGTTTTTAAATAAAACATAATTGTTACCAAAATTAAAAATAAAATATATTACCAAGACATCTTGAACTTTAGCATACGAACGTGAACCCGCTCTGTGACAATGTGGACCTAAACCATCACGACTATTTAGTCGTGAAGAACGAGCTTTTTCACTTTTTTCTTTGGCTTTTGGAGTCTTCCAATAAGCTACCATTACTCTCCAATATTCAGCCAGAATCCATTCAGGTTGTTTTCCTTTGGACTTTGCAAGACTAACCATTCCTTTGAGGCGAGCAGCAGCAAGGGCATCAAAGTTGGCTTTAACTAGATGCTCAATCGAGGCATCCCACTCAAACCTTGTCTAAAATATATCTATGTCAGACATGTATTAAATAAAAAATAATTTCACAAAAATAGTTTACATATAACTAACACACACCTTAAACGTTGTAAATCATGCATCTCTATAAAATTGCGGCACTTTTTTCCAGCTATACCAAGGTCCCTGAAAACACTCTTCAATGATTTTTCTAACACGCGTTGACACTTCGGTGTTGTTTTTGAACCTGATGCATATGTATTTAAATTATATTTACAGTTTATTTTGTTACATTAAACAATGAATGAAACAAAAAAGAAAGAACAATACCATTTAGCTCCATTTCTTCTAGAGGGGTGAAGCACTCGAATATCATATTGCACAGGTGCAATTTCTTCTCTCTGCTCACTTGATTCAGCGTTTGCAGTTTGAGACAAAGGTCTTTGAGAACCAACAGCTTGAGAACTCGATCCTTGTCCATATAAACGACCGCCAATGTTTATTGGTGGACGCATCTATAATTGACAAACAAAAATAATATAAATAAATTACACTTAGATAGATATACATATAATAATGGAATGTTATATTGTTGATACAATAATTATTGGCATGTTATGTTATCCACGTACGCTTTTAACAACAACAAAATTCATTTTCATAATTCGGTTGGTCATGACTAGGCTTTCGTATTAAAAAATGCTTTGTGCGTTTATAAATTCTGTAGCATCTAAAATTTTCATCTTCACGACTCTTATATCATATTATATAAAACAAGTAGATCAGATTAGCAACTTTACACGGATCAACAATAATTATATTCTATTCAACGAATGAATACAACAAAACGAATCATGGAGAAGAAATAATTGTAACAAAACCAAAACTCTAGAGGATTAACATGTACAAAATTTATACCTTAAAATCAAAGATGGTGGCAGAGCTAAGGGAAGAGGGTCTGAGATTGTTTTTGATTGAGAAACTAATCGTTGTTAGGATACGTACGGTTAGAGGAAGGCAATAGATTTGTTTATATAGTTGGTGAAAATTTAGGGCTACTGTGACGTTTAGTATTTTACTTTAGTCACAATAAAATGAAAAAAGTTTTTTAGCGGGTGTTTTTGCCGCACTTAATCAATTCTTTATTTTCTAAAATGGTAGTGTTCCACGATCTAAGGAGATATTTTCATTTATATTTTCTAGTTTTATTATTTCGAAAATATTATCCTCCCATTTTATTAGATTTTTTCTAAATCTATACATATCTACAATATTTTTAACCCAACAATAATTAAAAAAATTTGGTTAATATATTTTTAGAATCTAAACTATTCCATCGTTAGTTTGTTAAGTTATCATCTTCTCAACTCACTATATAGCTACAATCAAAGTCTTTCATATATTAACAAAAACGAAAATATATGTAACTAAAAAATGAAACGAGAAAGCAAATCACAAGATGTTCAACCCATCAGCTTGATAAATCCTCACAAATTTGATCTAAATAAACCGTATTATGACGAAGAAGAGCTTCATCCCAAGGAAGAGCTGTTACAAAAAGAAAACAAATCAGAAAATCTTCAATCTATCAACAAGACAATTTCTAGCACCAGTCGTAATTTCGATCTCAACAAGCCATATTATGACGAAGAAGACTTGTATCCTCCTGATCCACTGAAAAAAATGATGCAGCTTTTGCTCCCTAATTATTCTAAGGTTTGGGTTATCTTTTAAATTCAATGTGATACAATTCAGTCAAAATATTTGATTCAATTCTTTTTATGTGGACAGTGAGTATTGCCTTGAGAAGTTTTGGTGGAGAATCTCAACAGATGAAGCATTATAGTTTTTTTAAATTTACGTATGTTTTTTTATAAAACATTTGATATGATTTATAATAAATGTATTGAGCAAAGATCTTCTTCTTCTTCTTTATCTAGCAAGTTACGAGATGGGCTACGTGAACGCCCGGGAAAGTCCGGACGTATCCTGAACAACCCAAAATCAGGGTATACCTCGTTAAAATGTTTCCATGATTCTCCATCAGACGGATGAGACATTTCCCCGCTTTTCACCGAGTGTTCTGCGTGCCATCTCATATCTTTTGCAGTATTATCAGATTGATACAATCTCTTTAATCTGTCGGTAAGCGGCAAATAAAACATCTGGCGATATGCAACTCTTTTATGCCCAAGCTGAGTAGGACGAAATCTATCTTTGTCACAGAACTTACAATTCTCTAATGATGCATCATCTTTCCAAAAAAGCATGCAATTATCTTGACAAACGTCAATTTTTTGATAAGGTAAACCTAAAGACCAAATAAGCTTCTTTATATCGTAGTACGATTTCATTGACTTGTTACCTTCGGGCAAATATTCTTGCATCATTTCACAAATTGCGTCCATACAATTTTGAGAAAGATTATAATCTGTCTTCAAACTCATGAGTCGAGCTGCTAAAGATAGTTGTGAAAGACCTTCTTTACATCCATCATAAATTGGATTTTTTGCAGCATCCAAAATATCATAAAACCTTTTTGCTTCAGCATTGGGCTCTTCTTCTATGTTTTCACCAAATCTTGATTCTGGATTATCAAATGCTTCTGAAGCCATTGTTACATAAGGTTCACCGGTTCAGTGTGAGATGCAGACCCAAAAGCATCCTCGGTAGCAGAATGATTGTCTGACATATTGTAATCTTCTCCATGAGAAATCCAAACTGAATAGTTAAGCATGAATCCTCGGTTATATAAGTGGTTCGTCACGGTCATCTCAGGCAACATTTTTCCATTCTCACACTTAATACAAGGACAAAAGAGTTTGCTTTTCTCAAGAAATAAAGGCTGATTCTTAGGAAATCTTATAAAAATTTTAAATTCTTGGTAATATTCTGTTGAAACGTCATTAGTTCTGTGATCGATTCTTTCATACATCCAACGTCTTGTTGCTGTATTATTGTTGTTCGACGACATTAAATTAAACCTACAATATTAAAAACCATTTATCAGAAAAGTAATAAACTATATATATGAGAAAATTATTAGTATTAGAAATTTACGATGTTTTAAGGTTAACGTGTTAGCAAAACTGAAACATACCACAGCTTTTAGAACAGAGCATGAGACAAGTGAAAACTAAGCATGAGAACAAATTTGACGAAGTACTAAACCAGTTTGACTTTTTCTAGTGACGTGAGGGAATCAAACACTAATTGATATGAGAGAAGACACATAAAACAATTTATTTCTTACTTGTAAGAGAAGACACATGTGTTGATATGAGCAAAACCTTTATTACTTGTAAGAGAAGACACAGCGCCGTGGGCAAAACCTTTCTTCCTTTACGAGCACTTCTAGATCAACGTAACGTGGGCAAAGCTTTTGTTAATTGATATGATTTTTAATGTGTTTATAAGTCCTTCCACATAAACAAGATAATATATATGTTGATTGATAAGATTCCTATTTTTACTAGGATTAGAATTAAAATTAAATATATACTTTTAAAGTTTATCTAATAAGAAAAATAGTCTTTATCTCATCTAAAAATATTATAACAAAAATACATTAAGATAATAACGGTTTCAAATATTTTTAAATAAATGAAGATGATAACTTTTTAAATGTTGTTAATTAGTCCACATTGGGACGAAATTGTAACAAAATTACGAAACTATTTATAACAAAATACTTTGTCACTCATTGGTATCAATTCATGACTACTATTTAGTCACTCTAATGTCACAAATTGTGACTCCCATATTCGTTACAAATTCGTAACTAATTTGTGACTATAGATACGTCACAAAATCTTCACACTTGTTTCGGTCATAAAATCGTAATATTTTTGTCGCTAATTGCCACAAATTTTGGTCATGATCTAAACCGTCACAATTTTGTGACAAAATTACTACGAAATTGTGACAAATATATTTAGTCACAAAAAACGTATCAAAAAGTCACAAATTGGTGACGTATATTATTAGTCTTAAACTTCGTCTCAATAAAAATAATTTCTTGTAGTGAACAGAGTTGGGTTCTAACCGGAAAAAACCATGGCTAATGGTAGGTGATTTCAATGAGTTGACGGGAAATCATGAAAAAATAGGTGGTAATTTACGATCAGCAGCATCTTTTGTTCCTTTTAATCTTATGATTCGAAATAACGGTATGTTAGAATTTCCATGCTATGGTGAACAACTATCATGGAGAGGTAATAGGAACCAACAGATAGTCAGGTGCAGACTGGATCGGGCATTGGGAAATGAGGATTAGCATAACTTTTTTCCTTATTCAAAAGTGGATTATCTGGATATGATTGGATCTGATCATAGACCGATTTTATTGAGTTGTGGGAAAAATTTGGGTAGAAGAAAACGTCAATTTCGATTTGATAAAAGATGGGTTGGAAAGGATGGCCTTACTGAAGCCATAAATTCAGGTTGGAATCGAACAAGAAATTTTAGAATTCCTGTTTTTGTGGATAAAATAAAGAATTGTAGAAATTCCATTTCATGGTGGAGGAAAAATAATATTCCCACGGGTCAGGCTAATATCTATTCGCTTAAGAGGGCTTTGGTAGAGACAAAGAATGATGACTCGATTCCACAAGAGGAAATAAAAAGAATCGAAAGTAAATTAAAGGAAGCTTATCATGAGGAAGAAATTTATTGGAAACAAAATAGCATAAATTTTTGGTTAAAAGTGGGGGATAAAAATACCAAATACTTTCATGCTTCTACAAAAAAAAGAAGGGCGAGAAATAAGATATCAGGTCTATATGGACCTAATGATGTTTGGGAGGAATCAGAAAGAGGGATGGAGGAGATTGCAACTAATTATTTTAAAGAACTTTTTAAGGTCTCCAATACAAATGGAATTCCTGAGATGGTAAATGAAGTTTCTCCAATTATTACGGAAAGTATGAATAGGGAACTAACCAAAGAGGTTACCGAAGCAGAAGTTAGGAAAGCTTTATTTTCAATGCATCCAGAAAAGACACCATGTCCAGATGGTATGACAGCATTATTTTATCAAAGGTTTTGGCATTCTTTAAAGGAAGATTTGGTAGGATTGGTCAGAGATTTTTTCCGAACTGGACGTTTTGATAAGAGAATAAATGAAACAAATATTTTTTTAATTCCAAAGACGGAAAGGCCACAGAAGATGGCAGAGTTTAGGCCAATAAGTCTTTGCAATGTGAGTTACAAAATAATTTCAAAAATTCTTTGCTTGAGGCTTAAACACATTTTACCTCGGCTAGTCTCTGAAACATAATCGGCATTCGTTTCTGGGAGACTTATTACAGACAACATCTTATTAGCTCAGGAAATGTTTCATGGCTTACGGACTAATAGAATGTGTAGAACGGATTTCTTGGCAATTAAGACAGACATGAGCAAAGCGTATGATAGGATAGAATGGGACTTTTTAGAGGCAATTATGACTCGGTTGGGATTCAATTCTAATTGGGTTTCTTGGATCATGTGGAGTGTTAGTTCGGTCTCGTATCAAGTTTTATTGAATGGGGAACCTAGAGGAAATATCATTCCCAGTAGAGGTTTAAGGCAAGGTGATCCCTTATCGCCTTATTTGTTTATTTTATGTACGGAGGTACTGATTGCAAATATTAAAAAGGCGGAAAGGGAGAAGAAGCTGACAGGAATTAAGATAGCGAAAAGAAGCCCAGCAATTTCACATCTGCTTTTTGCGGATGATAGTCTCTTTTTCTGTAAAGCGGATTCAGAGCAATGCAAAACGGTGATGGATATTATTGGGAATTATGGTAAAGCTTCAGGGCAAGAGATAAATCTTAGTAAATCATCGGTTATGTTTGGTAAGCGCGTAGCAAACCAAAAAAGAGATCAACTTAAAAACACCCTTGGAATCAGTAAGGAGGGTGGCATGGGTACCTATTTGGGTATACCAGAGAGCTTAGGAGGCTCAAAAAGTAAAATCTTTAATTATGTCCGGGAAAGACTTAATGAACGGATTAATGGCTGGTCAGCTAAATTTCTGTCGAAAGGTGGGAAAGAAACAATGATCAAATCAGTGGCTTTGGCACTACCAACCTATGTTATGTCTTGTTTTAAACTACCTCAAGAGTTAACTTCTAAGTTAACAAGTGCTATTTCTAATTATTGGTGGAGTTCCAATGGGAGAGATCGTGGGATCCATTGGATAGCATGAGAAAAAATGTGTAAGGATAAAGAAGAGGGAGGTTTAGGCTTTCATTCCCTAGACATTTTTAATGATGCCATGTTGGCTAAACAATATTGGCGTTTAATCCAATATCCGAACTCTTTAGTAGCTCGGGTGCTACAAAGTAGATATTTCAGGAATATTCATCATTTACAGGCAAAAAAACCAAACTCTCCATCATTTGGATGGAAGAGTATTTTTTCTACTAAAAGATTAGTTGAAGTGGGAGCTAGATGGTCACTAGGATCGGGTTTCAATCTATCGGTATGGCGAGATCCTTGGATTCCTGATGTTAACCCACGGCCCGCAAATGGAAGAGGAAAAACATTACTTCCAAGCTTGATGGTTAACCATTTAATTAATCCGGTTACTAAAGAATGTCACCTTCCTATTTTACAAGAATTTTTGGATCCAGTGGATATTCAGTTTATTAGGAGATTGGCTATTAGCAAAGTTTATAAGCCAGATAGGCTTATCTGGCATCATACAAGATCGGGAAGATATACAGTAAAATCAGGCTATCGGGTTGCTAGAGAGATGACAGAAACGATCGAATGGGGCCCGAATTATAAGAATTTACAAGCACAAGCTTGGAAAGTCAAAGCCCCTCCAAAACTAAAACATTTCTTATGGCAAATTGCTACGAGATCTCTAGCAGTTACTTCAAAATTAGCACATCGAGGGATCCAATGTGACTTTCACTGTAAAAGGTGTGAGATGGCAGAGGAAACAATAAATCATGCTTTATTTGAATGCACTCATTCTCAGAAAATATGAGAATTATCCGATATACCTACGGCAATAGGTAGTTTTCCTCTAACCTCGGAATTCTCAAATCTAGATTATCTTTATTGGAGGTTACCATCTAATCTAGATGGGGGAGAGAAAACTTTCAGTTATGCTTGGATTTTGTGGTTTATCTGGAAAGATAGGAATAAAAAGGTTTTCAAGGGATTACAATCTGAACCCAGAGATATTTTAAATCATGCTTTGAGTGAAAAATTAATGTGGGAAGAAGCTCAGTTGGATCCGATCGAAACTAGTTCTACTACGGAAACTTTGGAACGACCGATTCAATCTATAAGATGTCGGATTGATGGTTTTTGGAAAAAATCAGATCCAACAATGGGTATAGGATGGTGGTGTTTTCAAGGAAATGATCAAACGATACTGCTCGGTGCAAAGTGCCTTCGGAGGTGTCCCTCCCCTCTTCACTCGGAGATGGAAGCTTTAATTTGGGCTATGAAGAATATCCTTTCAAGAGGGATCGATTGTCAGGTGTTTGAATCAGACTGCTCGGAGTTAGTCTCGATGATACATTCACCGGATGAATGGCCTGCTTTCTCCAATCTTCTAGACGAGTTTGGTTTTCTCCGTGTCTCTTTCCCTTTCTTCTCGCTTTCTCTTATTTCTCGTTTATGTAATGTTCAAGCGGACTGTTTAGCCCGTTCTTCTAGACTTTTATTTTCTGAAGTTACTTTTGTAAACTCTACTCCTCCTAATTAGGCAACCAATCAAGGAATTATTTATTAATTAATGTGTGGTTGACAAAAAAAAAATTACATTTACATAATTAATTACAACAGAGTAGTTAAATAATCAAATAGCTGAAAAGACTACAACTTGAGAAAGTTTAAGCGAAATAATTATAAATTCTTAAAATACTACTAATTTTTTTTTTTGGTAAGACTTAAAATACTACTAATTTACTAGATTAATAATGTTTCTTTTTTAAGTTTTTTGTTTGTTTGTGAAAAATCATTTCTCTTCGATTGGCCCATCAACGATAATTATCCGTTTAAACATGAATTAAAAAGCCCGGATGCAATATAGCTTTCCAAGCCCAATATTAAAGTCTTATTTTTAGCAATATAAGTAAATCAGATAAAATAGGGCGAAGAAAACTAAAAACCCAAATTGGATAAATCCGAAAAAACATACTAGTATCTCTACGGCGACTACATCGTACACTCAAAAAAAGATTACTACCACAAGAACCGATTTACACACACTCTGCTACGTGTACACTTTCTAATGTTATAGTACACAGTAACCAAATACACGTACACACAGCAGATTAAAATATTTAGCGAGAATAAAAAATCTTAAAAAGAAAATAAGATATTTTTTATTGAGCTCTGTATATATAGCCCCTTAAACCCTACTCTTTGGCTTCATTCTTCATTTCCTCTGCCTCTTTCTCAGATCACAAAACCCTAATTTCCAAGCTTTATTCATCAGGTACCATTTTCTTCACCATCTTCGATCTCCAGAGCTTTATTATGTTTCTGATTTGTTTGATTTCGTAGTGAATTCGTTTCTAGTGAGTCTCTGCTTTGGTTTCAATACGCCTTTTAAAGGATCTTGAGCTTGAAATTACTCTTATGCTTAAGTTGAATCTAGATCTGCTTGTTTAGATCTAATTTGTTCTCGTTAGAATGATGATTTAGTCTTAAAGTTAGGGTTTTTATTGGTATTGATTTGATCTGGTCTTGTAGAATGGCTTTCTGCAACAAACTCGGTGGTCTGTTGAGACAGAATATTACTCCCATCGGAAATGTTCCGGTTACGTCTATGCTCGGATCTCTCCGGTTGATGTCTACCAAGCTTTTCGTCGGAGGTAAAAACCTTGTCTTTTTTCTCTGTATGAGATTGAGTGAGAGTTCTTGGTTTCGAAATTGGCTTATTTTGTACTGAGTTCTTGGTTTTAAAACTTGTTTCAGGTCTTTCTTGGGGAACTGATGACCAGTCCTTGAGGGATGCTTTTGCTCACTTCGGTGAAGTTGTTGATGGTAAGTTACTGTTCAAGAATCATTCAGCTGGTTTGGTTGATCTTTGTGGTATTGTTGGGTCTCTGGAGATGAACTAAAGTGTTGTTTTTTCTTTATGTGCAGCTAAAGTCATCGTAGATAGAGAGACGGGAAGATCGAGGGGATTTGGATTTGTCAACTTCAATGACGAGGGTGCTGCATCTGCTGCCATTTCAGAGATGGACGGAAAGGTTTGTATTGAATGCTCAATTAGTATATCTTTTAATGGTATTTGTATCTGTGTAATTTATATGGTTTTTGGTTTGGAATTTCAGGATCTGAATGGTCGTAACATTCGAGTGAATGTTGCTAATGAAAGACCAAGTGCTCCTCGGGCTTATGGAGGTGGTGGTGGCTACAGTGGTGGCTACAGTGGTGGCTACAGTGGTGGTGGCGGCTACGGAGGAGGTGGTGGTGGCTACAGTGGTGGTGGCGGCTACGGAGGAGGTGGTGGCGATGGTGGTGGTTACTAAACGGAGAGTTGCTTGTGAAGAAGAGTTGATGGTTCTGTTTAGTTGGTTTCTTCAATTGAATCTTATGTTAGTATAAAACCTGAATGGGATTTGCTGAAAACTCGTTACTCTTTTTTTTATTTACCAATTCGGTTGAAATATTTTATTGCCCCCCATTAGGTGCATTCAACTATGTTTACCAATTCCTTAACCTCACTTGAGCTATTATGCCGTTTTCCACCATTGCCTATGTAACATAACTTGGATTCATGTTTCATCTTTCGTCAAGCGATTTTGGACATAGTTAAACCTTGAAATTAAGCCATTTGACAAATAGGCTATTGACAAAGTCAAGCGTACCGAGCTATATATCAGAAAACACTGAGCAACAACATTTGATTAGCTGTAAAATTCTATAATTCCACCTGATTGATTTGTAAATCAAGATGTATTAAAATACTGACCTCCAACTAAACTTATCTTCCATGGCCCCATTCTCCATTCCTCAACGATTCTTGTTTCTATTTCCATCCTCTAGAGTCTACATGTCTACCAAGGTTTTTTTTTTTTTTTTTTTGAATTGAATGTAAAATTTATTCAAACCAAAAAGACGTTTTTACAACAAGTGCAACTTTGTTTTGAAAGGTCTTAAAGAATTTAAAGAGTTGGGCAACTTATGAACTTCTAGAAGCAAACCAACACTGAAGTGAACAAGCCATTCTTTCATCCTTGATCGAAGAAAGTCTGTTTCGTACGTGTTTATCGATGAGCTTGATGAGAGTTGACGGAGCTTGATGTCTACCAAGGTTTACGTAGAAAGTAATCATTTCTTTCTTCTTTGAGATGTTCATTATCGAATTTGCTTTAGCCAGGTTTTGTGATTTGAAAGCTTTACTGCATATTTGATGATCGCTTCAGTTCTCTCATCGACCACTACCGATGATACCTTGAGGCAAGCTTTTTCTGACTACGGTCAAGTGCAAGATGGTAACAGCCTTTGGATCACTCTCCAAATATTTCCGAGTTTCTAGTTTTTTTTTTCCTCATTCCGAGTTTCTAGTTAAGTGGGGTTTATGTTTCACATAAAACCAACTTTTTGGTGTGGGCAGCAAGCCAGCAATCGTAATGAGGGATAGAGAGACACAGGAAGGTCGAGAGGTTTTGGATTTGTCACATTCAGCAGTCACTCCGAAGCTGAAGCAGCCGTGTCAGGGATGAATGGAGAGGTTTGGATTGCTCCATTTGTGGTATAGTAGTTGTGTCTATACTCAAACCTATTATTGATTTGGTTTTGAATTTCCAGGAACTGGATGGTTGTAAACTGAAAGTGAAAACTCTCTGGTAGTGATGGTTGTAGTGAGGAGTGACGATGATGATGTTGACATAAGGTGGAACGCATTTTCTATCCAAAAGTTGAAAACATTCTTGTATTGTGCGCTTTCATGTGTTTGCAGTGTCGGGTTTTGTTTCCTTGTTGTGATCCAACTCCTCCCTTTCAAGGGTTTCTTTCCTGGTTTGCTTTGATCCGATTCCCGTGTGTGACTTAAAGAAGTTTCCTTTATCAAATCTTTACATCAGTATTCAAAGTTTGAATAGCAGAAGAGCTTACCATGAAGCCCACGAGTTTCTGGACAATTAAATGGACCGTAACTAGATACAGACTGTATCATACAGTGATTAAATATCTTTGCAAATCCCATAAGAGTTGCATCTACTGGACTAGATTATGTGTATCATATCATTTAATCCCATAAGAATTATATGCTTCCTCCACGTTATGAGCCATTGACAGCATCAGGAAGGTCCTTAAGAACCTAAGCAAATGTAACAATGCTCTCCATTAGCTTCTAACTCACCAAAGATAAGCTCCAGGTTTTCGACAAGTTACAAGTAGTATAATTAGAACGACGTGAGTATGAGAAGATGGTTTTTCTTAGTTGTTACCTGGTAAAGATGCCATGAAGCATAAGCATCGGTTGCTGCGTACTGTAACTGCTGCTTTGATAGAGGATAAACCTCCCAGTTCCCAAGCCTGATTCTATTTGGCTTCAGGAGCTGCAAAGTAACAATCAAAATTTCTAAGCGAAATAGGAATCAAGAATCTCACTTTTGAAACAGCAGAACAGAAGAGTGTTGTAGTGATATTTATGAAAGAACGAAAATATGATAAATCCAGTTTTCACTATTGTTCTCAAAATTTAAATCAAGCTTTTTAGTAACAGATACCTCTTTGCAAACAAGTGTCTCAGTTAGTGAGGCAAGGCCCCATTTTTTTTCTCCACCAATTTTTTGGTTGGCTAAATCTGAAAGATCCTCAACGTCTTTGATGGAAACTCCATAGTCATGGAAAAGCTTCACAGAGTCACCATCAATTCCAATACCTACCTATATATGTATCAGAACTATGTTAATTGATGACAACAAGAACTCTGACCACTTGAAATAAATTTAACAAACCTTTACAAGAGTTGAATCCTCAATAAGATGTTGGAGTCTTTGCGGGATACCAGAATGGACAATGTGCATAACATCACAATAATTATTATCTACACATATCTGAACAGTTGCAACCTTCCCCGGGAGAACACCTAAACAACTCATATTTTCACAAAAATATCATTAGTTAGATCACGAGAACCTCACACAGGTTGAGAAGAACAAAGTAGCATATAAAAAGCTTGCAGCAATGAGACATTGAACTACACAAAATTACACAAGTGAGCCATCTACACTTTCTTCCAACCAATTAGAAAGGGAAAAACAACCATAGAGCTCTATCTGATCTAAATACAAAAGAATGCATCATCATCATCATTAATTCATCAAGATTCAAGATTTATAAGGATGAAATAGGAAAGACAACATATGCATCCATAGAGATACAATGCAGTTCCAGATGCATATCACATTGCATACTTTAAGAAATGCAATCGAAAACCGCAAAAATTGCAAACACAAAAGAAGGTTAACAATAGTACCTTTTCTCAAACTTGGTCTCCACTCAATATCAAAACCAACAATAGCTCTTCCAGATTCATTTCTCTTGGTATCAAGAACCTTAAGAAGTTGCATTGCTCGCTTATCAACCTCACTAGCAGTCTTGCTATACAAAATCCTACCACCAAACCTCATTGCTGGAAAATTCCTAGCTGCAACAAAGTAAACACTGTATAAGTTGCTCTGCCACATAACATCCTCACTTCAAATAACAAACACTGTTACGGAAAAATTCTTAAATTATATAAATTAGGGCATTAACAGATTCGAAAATAACGGAGAAAGATCTCAGGGATTTGAAGAAGTTTCTTACTACGGCAACGAGAGAGAGGAAATCGTTTATAAGATGTAGGAGAAGTGATGGAACGAGGCAATTGGCGACGGATATTATTGGGGATTTGATTTGGATCCTCCTCGTGGCCATGGCCGGACGTTGTAGCTTGTACGGTCGGGGAAGCGGAGGAAGAAGAAAGGGAGAAATTGTAGGAAGCTTCGATGGCGTCGATAGCGAGAAGCTCTTCCTCTGTAAAAGCGTCGTCGTCGATCCAATTTGACGAAGACATTTTTTTTATGAACAAAAAATAAAAGAGATAATTAGCTGAGAGACATAGATTCAGAAGGAAATAAAATTTTTGATATAATTTTGTCGGGTCCAAGACATCATAAATATTTAGCTCACTATTTACCCTCTTATGCCCTTTCGTGCCTCTGGATTTCGATCCAAGAATTAGCCCATTACTTAAGACATTGTAACCAATTATGTTGTTCTCGAGGCAATAAAGTTGCCCTCTGACTCTTGGTTTCCATTTTATTATCTCTCTTCTTTTCACTCTGAAAACCCTAAGACAACTCTCTCTCTCCATTCTCTTCTATAATCCAGTGATTATCTTCTCCGACGGCTCCGGCGACGCCATTGTTGTTACTGTTAAAGCGTAGATGGTGCAGTGTGTTACTACTTTGTACGGTGAGCCGGCGATTACGGAGACCGACGTCTTGGGGATTAGAATCTCGCCGTTCTTTTGTTTTTGCTCTCCGACGATACGCCAACTTTTTAATCAATTTTTTTTTTCTTGTTTTGCTTTTTATATATTCAGAGTTTTTTTGTCTTCTGGTTCTGATTCTTCGTCTTCCCACAACCGATTTGCGTAGATCTCTTTGTAAATGTGTTTATCGATTCGTATTTTACTAGTATCTTACTAATAAATCCTAATTTTATCTTTTTCTTTTTGTTTTCCATAACTGTTTCTGTATCAAAAAAACTTTTCCATACTAAATTCGGTTCTGGTTCTTCGTCTTCCCACATGGGGACCCCTTAGATCTCTCTTTCGATGCATAAACTGATTCGTCTTTTACATATTTTTTAGATCTCTATTTTATATTCATATATCTTTATACTCCTTCATATCTTTTTATAGATCTGTATTTCTTCATCCTAGATCTGCATGGTCCTTCACATATTTTTATAGATATGTATTTCATATTTATAGATCTGCATGGTTGTTCACAAGTTTTTTTAGATCGTTTTTTTCCTTTGTAGATCTCAAACCGGACTCTGTTTTGGTGCATGAATCTCCGCAGGAACATGGAAAATGTCGATCTGCCTTCCTTTCTGCTAGGGAGTTTAAGGTATAGTTACCTGAATAAATAACGATCTAACATTTAATATAGCAGACTACATGTGTTAATTTTTGAATACTTTGGATTTAAAGCAAAGACCCACGAAGAAGGCGAAGAGGACCTGCATGCGTTACCGTGGGCTTGGGCATAATCGAGGGACATGCAAGACGCCTATATAAACAAGTACCTATGTATGGTAAGCTAGTTATCCCTAGCTTGCGGTGGTTAACATTGTGAAGTTATATAAGTTGTCCATGTTGAGGGATCTAACACATGGTGGTTTACATGATGCAGTTAAATAAGCTGTCCCTTTTGAATGTGTAAAAACAGCTCGGCGGTTTAAGTTGGAATGGGAATCGGAAGAAATCAAGTGGCCAATTTTCTTTGTAAAATATTAGTGCCGTATGTTAAAGACTTGCTAATGCTTTGTTAAATGTTGTTGAACTTGTCAAAAACGGTGTTGCGTCGATCTTGTGAGTCCGCACACCTTCGAATGTAAAATATTTAATTTTATGTTTATCTATATATTTATCCTTCTAAAATTATAGATTCAATTACACAAGTGGTGGCCTAATAAATGTCTCTGAAAACGCAAAAACGGAATAATGATGAAAAACCAGAATTGTTACTTTTGGAAAAAATTTTAAGACTTGAATAATGTAGATGACATAAACATTATATGAACATCTAAACGATAATATCTCGTTACGATAAGGCTACACCGTAAGACCATCCGCAGTGGTGTAAGTGTGAAAGAGGGGTGTAAGATTTTTTTTATTATTATAATTTAAAGTGAGAGAGAAAAGAGAGAGAGAAAGAAAGAGAGAGAGAGATAGAGTGGCTTACACCCGAGTGTAAACTTACACCCGGGTGTGAAGAGAGAGACAACTTTTATATTATTTTTGCATTTTAAAATAGATACACCCCACGCAAGGATACACCACTGCGGATGCCCTAAGACACCATGTAGACGGAGAAGATAGATGTGACGACACCAACTAGGGAACCTAGTTTAGTAGAGCTCCCAGCTACGTGGGGTCCGCCACGTTGAATTAGGAGGCCCTCTATTTCTTAAGTTATTAGGTAGTTTGGGAAAAAATTCATAAAAAGAAAACGAATCCCACGCGCATGTTGACGATTGTAGCCGGTTATTTCGTAAATAAGTAACAAGTCCGAGTCTAGTTTGGACGCCTTTTGTTTCGTTGTCTTGGACGTCCAACCCTATTGTCTCTTAGCTAATTTCCTCCCCCATTTTTACTTCTGAGCAAATTCACTCAAAATAAAATGAGTGCTTTGGAGGGAGGGAGATGCGGCTTCTACGAATCTCGTCGGCCTCTTGAATTCTAGAATCTAGGATAAATCGAACCGAACCGAATGTAATTGAAGAAGAAAATTTTAAATTACAAGCCGAATAAATTTTAGTTTAATTAGAAACTTAATATGATTATACCTTTTAAACTAGAATTTAACCCGCGGTGTACCGCGGGGCTATATTTTAAAAACAATGTAATATTATTTTTTAAAGATTAATTGAAGATATATCATATTAATTTGTATTTTTAAATGTAGATATCTATCTATCAATTTTTGAAGTATATATACGAAAACATACATTTTTTTAGGTAACGATGTATGGTGGATTTTAAAATTTTGAATATTTTACTCTGCAGTATACCGTGGGTCGGTTTTTTTATAGCTAAAAATTTTAAATTTGAGTTGGATTTGTTTTGTTAATATTGTTTCTTTTGTTTTGTGTTTAAGATTGTATAATTGTATTTTGATTGTTAATTTTAGGATTTTATCCGTGATATACCGTTATTTATTAATATCGATCCAAACCCGTCATCCCATATAAACCCGTCTATATTATCTCGTTAGCTAAATTATTAGTGTTATAAAATCTAAACAAAAAAATTATTATTGATAAAATCTTATATTTTAGGATTTCATCCGTGGTATACCGTTTTTTGAACGATTTTAAATTTATACTACTAATATATATTTTAAATTTATCATATAAAGTATATGATTTCTAGTTTTTGTGTTTTTTTTTTTAATTTAAATAAAGCAACGGCTTAAATGATGATAGATATAGTTCTTTTTTCTTGTATGTGTATATGATTTTTCTATGTGAATATTTTGATTATTATAAATTAGTATTTTTATTGCTATGCAAAATGTTAATATAAATATTTGCTATAAAATTTTTTTGAAGATATAAGGAAAGATTGTGTAGAAAATATTTTAGAAACAAATTAGGCAACATATTGTTTGGTTAATATCTTTTATTTATATTTTGTAAAAGTAATAATAAATGTCAATGGCATGGACTCGTAAATAAGGTGCAACTCTAGGATTTATTTGCTAAGTGTACTCCAAAAATGTATATATAGATATATCCAACAGATTGAACTTGAATCTACTGATGGATTTTTTTTTTTTTTTTTTCGAATTAGCAACTATTAAAAGACTACGGAAACCAAACTTACAAACGTTTTTTTTCTCCTTTAGACGAAAGTAATAGCGTTGAAGTGTTGGAAACTATATGATGATAAGACCGTAATTATTTCAGATTTTAATCCTAAGATAATTTAATAAATTTTTTGATAAAAAAATAATAATTTAGCTAATTGGTGATAATAACACGTTGTGGATTTTTAAATGATAATGTGACACTTATAAAAAGAGTCCGACAACTTTCATATATAAACTTGTTTTTAATTTTAAATGTTTCCACACTATAGAGTTGCGTGTTTTAATTGCAAGACATTATTTATACTCCATCAAAGACATGTCTTGCAATTAAAACACGCAAGTGTGGATTACTATTTTTGTATGATTGATTATGCTTTAACCATTAATCTTTGCTACATCAAATTCTCTTATTATATTAGAATTGAAGACATATTAGACATATTAGATAAGGAAACCAAATTCAATCTAACAAAAACTTAAACCTGTACAAACAACCACAATTTTAAGCTAAAAAATATAAAAGAGAAAGTGTGATAATATTATTAAGAAAGCCAACAAAATATAACAATTTCAAGAAAAATAAAAAAACCATTCAATAATATTAAATAACCGGAGGAAACATTTAGGACATATACAAAAGCATATTTTATATACATAAAATAATAGAAGATTACTCTTGTGTAAAGAGATTGATCTCTAATCGTTTTTTGTCTCAGAGATGAGAGATCCAGGCATTTCAAAAGCATACATGAATTTCTCGACATCAGTCTTGAGCTCATCGATCTCCTTGTTGTTCACTAAACCCTTGTTAAAGTCCTTCAACACCTTACCGTACTGATTCTGGATGTCCAACGTGAGTGCCACGGCACGGCTCAGGAACTCTCCTATCTTCTCAAAGTCCTTCTCCACCAATCCTCTCGATGTCATCGCGGGTGTACCTTCAAAATCACATATATCTAGAGCTTCAAACAATGAAATTCAATTGGTCATTGTTAAGAAAAATTCAGAACTCGCTCATACCGATTCTTACACCTCCAGGAGCAAGAAAACTAGTGTCTCCGAATACCGCATTCCTGTTCAAAGTAATGTAGCCCAATTCACTAACCTTCTCAACCTTGTTGCCTAGCAGAAGCACAAACATATATAACATCAGGAAAATTGTTCAGTATATATAACATATGGTCTCAAAGGTGGGTGATTATTCACTGACCGGTCAATCCAAGAGGGCGAAGATCCCAAAGAAGAAGGTGGTTATTGTTAAATTTGGGCTAATTCTGGGCTTCCAACTAAAAACCAATTGACAATTAGTGGATTGGCCCTAACCCTTTATATATTATTGATTGTCCCATCAAACTTCCGATGTGGGACTTGGATTGTATCTCCAACAATCTCCCCTTCAATCCAAGGACCACATGGATCTTAACACACCTCCTCGATCCCTCACTCGGACCGATAATAAGCCCCTTTCTCGGGCCCCCATTACTCGGGTTTGAGGTATGTCCGTATCCACTTTTCTAGGTCCACCAGAATTTGAACCTTGGGCTCTGATACCATGTTAAATTTGGGCTAATTCTGGGCTTCCAACTAAAAACCAATTGGCAATTAGTGGATTGGCCCTAACCCTTTATATATTATTGATTGTCCCATCAAACTTCCGATGTGGGACTTGGATTGTATCTCCAACAGTTATCAGTTCCACCGGTTACAATACAATATCCCTTTCCCATTAGGTAGTTTGCAAGGCAAGCAGCATTGGCTTTCACCTGTTTTGCATAAACCTTGAAACCAGGAGCCATAGCCTGCTTCAACGCAACAGCTAGAGCACCAATCTTGTTATTGTGAGGACCACTTTGAAGCGCAGGGAACACCGCAAAGTTGATTTTTTTGTCAAAATCGTAGACTTCACCCTCGGGTTGGCCCTTCTTGGCTGGTTTTGGGCCCTTTCTATAAAAGATCATACCAGCCCTTGGACCTCTCAAACTCTTGTGAGTTGAGGTTGTCACAACGTCACAGTACTCGAACGGGTCTGCAGCTTCCTGAGCAGCAATGAGGGCGCTGTTGTGAGCCATATCACAAAGCAAAAAAGCTCCAACCTTGTCCGCGACAACTTTGAACCTCGCGTAATCCCATTCCCTAGGGTAAGAAGTGCCTCCACAGATGATTAACTTAGGCCTAAAATCCATTGCTTTCTCCTCAAGCTTGTCGTAATCAATGTAACCAGTGGTGGAATCCACCTTGTACAGAAGGTTTTCGAAGTAGATCGAGGTCGCGGATATATTCTTCCCACCAGAGGTATAGTAACCATGCGTTAGATGACCACCTGAAGGCAGATCAAGCCTCATGATACGATCATGAGGCTGGAGCAAGGCCGTGTAGGCGGCGAAGTTTGCAGGAGAACCAGAGTAAGGCTGAACATTAACGCCCCATTTCTCTGGATCACAATGGAAAGCCTCGAGAGCGCGTGAGCGGCAGAGACTCTCGATCTCATCGATGAACTCGGTACCTCCGTAGTAACGATTACCAGGCATACCTTCCGAGTATTTGTTGGTTAAGGCACTTCCAAGAGCTTCCATGACAGCCAAGGAAGTGAAATTCTCGGCGGCTATGAGTTCGATTCCTCGACATTGCCGATGTTTCTCCTTCTCGATTAGGTCGTGGATCTCGGGATCGACGGAGACAAGAGGCGTGTTTCCCCAAGAAGAGACTGATTCCATCTCTGAGATTGTTGGAAGGCTAGAGACTTTTGGCGGGTCTTTATATCTTACAAAACTAATCATTTGACTTTTTAGAATTTTTAGAATTAAGTATGACTTGCTGGTTGCTTTAGAAGCAAGTAATTCCAAGTCAAGTCTGTCCTTTAAAGAGGGCAAACGACATTATCATTTTTTTACTCCAATGTGTTCACATAGGAAACTAATTTAGTTTTGCCATGACAACTAATATTGATGACAAGTTTATTCTTATTACAATTTGCAAGATATATAAAGACTCCAATTTCACTTAAGATATAACTTCACGCAATGATGCAAACATTACTCATTTCGACGATAGAGCTAGAGACCATGTGCAATAATAGATAGCGTCTTAATTGTATTCTTACGGTGTTAAATGTACAATTGTTTGTTTTAATTTTAGACGTTTCCCACATACAGAGTTGCATGTTTTGATTACAAGACACAATTTATATTATTTTTGTATGATTGTCGATTGATAATTCTGTAACTATCTTTGGTACATATTCCTCTACTAATTTTGTATGATTATTGTTTTCTTTAAAAGGTTGACTATTTAATAGAAACGGCACATTTATGTTAGAACCACGTCTATGTGACTTGATTTGAATATGGAATGTTCTGATGATAAAGAGTTTTTTTTATTGGGCTTGAATATGCAACCTCCTTTGATTGGTTGTAAATTTATTTATAATTTACATTTCAAAACCAAATTTGAATACAGTCAAATTTGCATATCCCACAAAAGTTGCATCATTTAATACCATTACACAGACTAATCTTTAACCTTCGTTATAAGCAATGGACGGCATCAGGATATGTTGTAATGCTTCTCCATTAGCTTCTTACTAACCAAAGACAAGCTTTGTGCAGCCAGTTCACCAAAGATGCCATAAAGCATAACCATCGGCACGGCAAAAGAACTGCGTTTGCGGGTTTTGATTTGCTGCAAAAGGACTGAGCGATTAACTCACACCACACAAGCCAAGATATTGCGTTTGCAGTTTTGAATAAGTCAAAGGAATCTTCAGGCTGTGGACTGTTTCAGCGATTACTAACCCACACCACACGGCTGGGAAAAATTGGCGTTTGTGGATAGTATGTAAGATTTTAAGAGTGTTTTAATCTCCTCCACAAATTTCAGAGTCATTCCAATGATCTAGAGATTTTATGTGGAAGCAATTAGTCTTCAGTGAAGACTTGTTAAGTCAAGCTTTAAAGTTTTCCCACAGTGTAAGAGACGATCCAATATAATTATCGATTCGTTTCACAAGAAAAAACAAATAAAAAAATATGATGCATTCTTGTGTTGAGAGGATGATGATAATATGGAGCTTGTGTTTAATCTTCTGCATTTCGAACTCAGTACTTGTCATTGCTAAAGACTTGTGTCTTCCCGACCAGAGGGATGCTCTTTTGGAGTTCAAGAACGAATTCTATATCCCAAGCCAGGATTCTGGTTTTATGATTATTATAGGGAAGACAGAGAAGTGGAGGAACAACACTGATTGCTGTTCTTGGGATGGTGTCTCTTGTGATCCTAAGACTGGAGTGGTGGTTGAGTTGAACCTCGAGTACAGTAATCTCAATGGCCCTTTGAGATCTAATAGCAGCCTGTTTAGACTACAACATCTTCAGAGGCTAGCTCTTGCCAACAATTATCTTTCCGGTATCCTACCAGATTCCATCGGCAACCTCAAATATTTGAGGTCTTTGAGTTTTCGTCGTTGCTATCTCTTTGGAAAAATTCCTTCATCACTCGGAAGTCTTTCTTATCTCACTTTTCTTTCTCTTTCGGAAAATGATTTCACCAGTGATTCGATGGGCAACCTAAACAGACTAACAGATTTTCAACTTATGCTACTCAACTTGAGCTCGCTTACCGGTATCAACCTTGGTTATAACCAGTTCAGAGGTATGCTCCCATCTAACATGAGTAGTCTCTCCAAACTGGAGGCTTTTGATATTAGTGGAAATTCATTTTCTGGAACCATTCCCTCTTCTCTCTTCATGATCCCTTCGTTGACCTACCTTGACCTGGGAACAAACGACTTCAGCGGTCCTTTTGAGATTGGGAATATCTCTTCACTATCTAATCTTCAACAATTATACATTGGAGAAAACAATTTCAATGGACCAATCCCAGGATCTATCTCGAAACTAGTCGGGCTCTCGGCTCTTAGCCTCTCTTTCTGGGACGTAGGAGGGGGCATTGTTGATTTCAGCATCTTCTTGCATCTCAAGTCACTTAGGTCACTTAATCTCGCCTATCTGAATACAAGAAGCATGGTTGATTTGAGTTGTTTCTCACATCTCATGTTACTTGAGCTGGATCTTTCAGGGAATGATTTAAAGATCAGTTCAACTCTCCATTTTCCCTCACCCATGTACACCTTGATTTTATCATCCTGCAATATTTCAGAGTTTCCCAAGTTTCTACAAAACCAAACCAGTTTGGAGTATTTAGACATCTCTGCCAATCAAATTGAAGGCCAAGTACCAGACTGGTTATGGAGTTTGCCAAAGTTGCGGAAGGTAAACATTTCCCAGAATTCCTTCAGTGGAGAACTAACTATGTTACCAAACTCTATCTACAGCTTTATAGGCTCTGATAATCAGTTTTCGGGAGAGATTCCTAAGACAATATGCGAATTAGAAATACTTTTTTTATCCAACAACAACTTCAGTGGTTCTCTTCCACGGTGTGTTGAGAATAAATTTTCTCGTTCGATCTTGCATCTTCGGAATAACAGTCTCTCTGGTCTTATTCCGGAAGAAATTCTCAGTGGTAACTTGATGTCACTTGATGTTGGTCACAACCAGTTGTCGGGACAACTTCCCAAGTCCCTGATGAACTGCACTTATCTCCAGTTTCTAAACGTGGAAGATAACAGAATCAATGATACATTTCCATTTTGGTTGAGATCGTTGCCCTATCTACAGATTCTCGTCCTTCGTTCTAACGAGTTCCATGGGCCAATATCTTCTCCAGGAGATTCTTTGAGTTTCCCCGAGCTGCGAATTTTCGACATTTCAGAAAATAGCTTCAGTGGAGGCTTGCCATCAGATTACTTTGTTGGTTGGAGTGCAATGTCATCGGTTGTAGCCATTGATTATAGGCTTATTTTTTCTGCTTCCGCAGGTCTCCGAGAATCCTATCATAATTCTGTGGTTCTGACAAACAAAGGATCAAAGGTGGAGCTGGTTGGGAGTGGTTTCACAATCTACAAAACCATTGATGTCTCCGGAAACAGACTCGAAGGAGATATTCCAAAATCCATTGGTATACTCAAGGAACTGATTGTGCTCAATATGTCCAACAACGCTTTCACTGGCCATATTCCACTATCTCTATCAAACTTGAGCAATCTCGAATCATTGGATCTATCTCAAAACAGATTATCCGGCAGCATCCCACCAGAGCTCGGGAAACTTACGTTTCTAGAGTGGATGAACTTCTCGTACAACAGGCTTGAAGGTCCAATACCACAAGCCACACAGATTCAGAGCCAGAACAGTTCGTCTTTCGCAGAGAATCCCGGGCTTTGCGGTGCTCCTCTCCTAAAAAAATGTGGTGGAGAAGAAGAAGAAGAAGAAGAAGAGGAAGACGAAAAGGAAGAGGAAGATCAAGTATTTAGTTGGATTGCAGCTGCAATAGGCTATGTACCTGGTGTTGTGTGTGGAGTCACCATCGGTCACATTCTCACTTCATATAAACGTGACTGGTTCATGAGAATCTTTTCTGCTTTTCTTCTTCGCTGAGAAATGATCAATAATAAGAGTCTTCTCTTTAATTGTATTGTTTGCCTGGTAAAGATCTCATGAAGCATAAGCATCAGTTGCTGCGTATTGTAACTGCTCCTTTAATAGAGGGTGTACCTCCCAGTTCTCAAGCCTGGTTCTGTTTGGCTTCAGGAGCTGCAATGAAACAGTTTTAAAAGCGAAATTTAACCAAATGTGAGCAATCCAATTTTCTTTGGAAGCAATTAGTCTTAACAGAAGACTTTTCAAGTCAAACTTTAATTTATTTCTAAAATGTGAGCAATCCAATGATCAATTCGTTTCACAGAAAAAAAAAAAAAAAAAAAAAAAAACAATCAAAGAAAAAATAATCTAGAGGAGGATGATAACAATAAAATGGAGCTTGTGTTTAATCTTCTGCATTTCGAACTCAGTACTTGTCATTGCTAAAGACTTGTGTCTTCCCGACCAGAGGGATGCTCTTTTGGAGTTCAAGAACGAGTTCTATGTCCAAAGTTCCTACGAGATGATGTCTTATGCGAAGACAGAGAAGTGGAGGAACAAGACTGATTGCTGTTCTTGGGATGGTGTCTCTTGTGATCCTAAGACAGGAGTGGTGGTTGACTTGAACCTCGAGTTCAGTAATCTCAATGGCCCTTTGAGATCTAATAGCACCCTCTTGAGACTACAACATCTTCAGAGCCTAGATCTTGGCAACAATTATCTTTCGGGTATCCTACCAGATTCCATCGGCAACCTCAAATATTTGAGGTATTTAAGTTTTCGTCGTTGCTATCTCTTTGGAAAGATTCCTTCTTCACTCGGAAGTCTTTCTTATCTCACTGATCTTTCTCTTTCGGAAAATGATTTCACCAGTGATTCGATGGGCAACCTAAACAGACTAACAGATTTCCAACTTATGCTACTCAACATGAGCTCGCTTACCTATATCAACCTTGGTTTTAACCAGTTCAGAGTTATGCTCCCATCTAACATGAGTAGCCTTTCCAAACTGAGGTTTTTTTATATTAGAGAAAATTCATTTTCTGGAACCATTCCCTCTTCTCTCTTCATGATCCCTTCCTTGACCTGGGAACAAACGACTTCAGCGGTCCTCTTGAGATTGGTAATATATGAAAAGAAATAATCTCGATGCTATTGCATTGTCTCTTACGGCCTATTGTGACAGTGACTACAATGCTTGTCCTCGCACTCGCCGTTCTCTTTCTGCTTATGTCGTCTATTTGGGCGATTCTCCTATATCCTGGAAGACCAAGAAGCAAGAAACAGTTTCAGCCTCGTCCGCCGAGGCTGAATATCACGCTATGGCTTATACTCTCAAAGAAATAAAGTGGTTGAAGGCTCTTATGACAACTTTTGGTGTTGATCATTCACATCCGATTCCTTTATTTTGTGATAGTCAGGCTGCTATCCACATTGCTGCCAACCCCGTGTTTCACGAACGCACTAAACACATTTGATCAAGCCGCCGATCTTCTTGCAAAAGCTCTTCCAAGACCAACGTTTGAGCGTTTATTGTCTACGTTAGGTACTTGTTATTACGCCTTACCAACGTGAGGGGGGTATTAGGATATATGTCAATATATTTACTTAGATTTGATTCTATCAAGATTAGGCAACTTCTATTTGTATAAATACTCTTCTATTCTAATGAATAAAGCAAGTCTTTCTAAAATATTTCATAACAACTTTGAAAAAGGTGAGAAAACAAATGAATTGAGATCACCAAAAAATTCTAAGCAATAAGCCGTAGTAAAATTTGAAAGTAATAGCGAAAGATCTCTAGGGAGAGTGATGAATCTCCATCATTACCTCGACAACGAGAGAGGGGAAATGGGTTATAAGCTATGCAGGAGACGTGATTGGAATGACACAATTGGCGACGGAAACTGGGGATTTCAAATGGATCCTCGTGGCCATGGCCGGAGCTCGTAGCCCGTACGTGGTCGTCCCAATTTGTCGAATTCATATTTTATTTTTTTATGAAACAAAAAATAAAATAAAATGAGAGCTTTGGAGGGAGATGCGGCTCCTACGACGAAGATTTTTACAAGTAAATGTTATTTTCAAGATTCATGGGGCACATTGTGTGAAATTTTCAAGTAAAGGACTCGAAAAACTCATGACATTTTGAGGGCTTGTGCCCATGCAACTTAATTTTAAACAATTCCACACTATATATAGTTGTGTGCTTTAAATTGCAGATACACACTTTATACTATTTTTGTATGATTGATTATTCTTTAACCCATAATCTTTGCTACATCACACTCACTTTTTCTAAGAGGAGACTTCACTTTTTCTTATATATGGAAATCATTTAGTCTTTGTCGAAGAAATATCTCATATTGCTGTCTTCAAAGGAGACTTATTAAGACAAATGTAATTAAGAGTCAGTCCAAGGATCTAGAGTCAGGTATTCACTTTTCTGTGGAAGCAATTAGTCTTCACACGAGACTTTTTAAGTCCAGCTTTAATGTGTTTCCACAAATATTATAAAGGACACCCTAATGATCAATTCGTTTCACAGAAAATAAAAAAACAATCAAAGAAAAAAAATATGAAGCAATCTTGTAGTGAGAGAAGAATGATAATAGTAAGCTTATGTTTAATCTTCTGCCTTTCAAACTCAATACTTGTTATTGCTAAAGACTTGTGTCTTCCAGACCAGAGGGATGCTCTTTGGGAGTTCAAGGGCGAGTTCGATTCTGAAGGGAAGACAGAGAAGTGGAAGAACAACACTGATTGCTGTTCTTGGGATGGTGTCTCTTGTGATCCTAAGACAGGAAAGGTCGTTGAGTTAGACCTGGAGGACAGTAGTCTCAATGGCCCTTTGAGATCTAATAGCAGCCTGTTTAGACTACAACATCTTCAAACCCTGAATCTTGTCAACAATAATATTTCCGGTATCCTACCAGATTCCATCGGCAACCTCAAATATTTGAGGTCTTTGAGTTTTCGTCTTTGCTATCTCTTTGGAAAAATTCCTTCTTCACTCGGAAGTCTTTCTTATCTCACTGACCTTGATCTTTCTCTTAATGATTTCACCGGTGAGCTACCGGATTCGATGGGCAATTTAAACAAACTAACAGAGTTGTATCTTGGATCGGCCAAGCTCAGTGGGAACTTTCCTCACGTGCTACTCAACTTGAGCTCCCTCACCTTGATCGAGCTTCAATTTAACCAGTTCGAAGGTATCCTCCCATCTAACATGAGTAACCTCTCCAAGCTGGAGAGTTTTGAAATTGTTGGAAATTCGTTTTCTGGAACCATTCCCTCTTCACTCGGAAATCTTTCTTATCTCGCTCATGTTTTCCTTAATGATAATTCATTTTCTGGAACCATTCCTTCTTCTCTCTTCATGATCCCTTCTTTGATTGGTCTTGACCTGGCAAGAAACTACTTCAGCGGTCTTCTTGAGATTGGGAATATCTCTTCACTATCTAAACTTCAATACTTATTCCTTGGAGAAAACAATTTCAATGGGCCAATCCCCAGATTTATATCGAAACTAGTTAATCTCCAGCGTCTTAGCCTCTCTTTTTGGAACACAGGGAGTGGCATGGTTGATTTCAGCATCTTCTTACATCCCAAGTCACTTTGGTCACTTGACCTCTCCTATCTGAATACAAGAAGCATGGTTGATTTGAGTTGTTTCTCACATCTCATGTTACTTGAGCTGGATCTTTCAGGGGATGATTTAAAGATCAGTTCAACTCTCCATTTTCCCTCACCCATGTACACCTTGATTTTATCATCCTGCAATATTTATGAGTTTCCCAAGTTTCTACAAAACCAAACCAGTTTGGATTATTTAGACATCTCTGCCAATCAAATTGAAGGCCAAGTACCGGACTGGTTATGGAGACTGCCAAAGTTGCGGCATGTAAACATTGCTCAGAATTCCTTCAGTGGTTTTGAAGGATCGGCTGAAGTTATTCAAAGAAGTGGAAATCTAACTAAGTTACCAAACTTTATCGAGGACTTTCTAGGCTCCGACAATCGGTTTTCGGGAGAGATCCTAGGACAATATGTGAATTGGTTGGTCTTCAAACACTTGTTTTATCCAACAACAACTTCAGTGGTTCTATTCCACAGTGTTTTGAGAATTTAACTCTTTCTGTCTTGCATCTTATGAATAACAGCCTCGCTGGTGTTTTTCCAGAGGAATCTATCAGTGTTAACTTGAGATCACTTGATGTTGGTAGCAATTGGCTATCAGGACAACTTCCCAAGTCTCTGATCAATTGCACTGACCTCGAGTTTCTGAACGTGGAAGATAACAGAATCAGTGACAAATTTCCATTTTGGTTGAGATCGTTGCCCAATCTACAGATTCTTGTCCTTCGTTCTAACAAGTTCTATGGGCCAATATCTTCTCCTGGAGATTCTTTGAGTGTCCCTACGCTGCGAATCTTTGACATTTCAGAAAATGGCTTCAATGGAGTCTTGCCATCGGATTACTTTGTTGGTTGGAGTGCAATGTCATCGGTCGTAGACATTTATGATAATACGCCTGGGATTGGGGTTGTAGGAGGTGGCCGAAAACGCTATCATAACTCAGTGGTTCTGACGAACAAAGGATTAACGATGGAGCTGGTTGGGAGTGGTTTCACAATCTACAGAACCATCGACGTCTCGGGAAACAGATTCGAAGGAGACATCCCTGAATCCATTGGTCTTCTCAAGGAACTGATTGTGCTCAACATGTCAAACAACGCTTTCACAGGCCATATTCCACCATCTCTATCAAACTTGAGCAATCTCCAATCATTGGATATATCTAAAAACAGATTATCAGGCAGTATATCACCAGAGCTCGGGAAACTTACATTTCTAGAGTGGATGAACTTCTCGTACAACAGGCTTGAAGGTCCAATACCACAAGGCACTCAAATTCAAACCCAGAATAGTTCTTCTTTCGCAGAGAATCCCGGGCTTTGCGGTGCTCCTCTCCTAAAAAAATGTGGTGGAGAAGAAGAAGAAGAAGAATCAACAAAGCAAGAACAGGATGAAGATGAAGAAAAGGAAGAGAAAGATAAAGCATTTAGCTGGATTGCAGCTGCAATAGGCTATGTACCTGGTTTGTTTTGTGGACTCGCCATCGGCCACATTATCACTTCATATAAACGTGACTGGTTCATGAGAATCTTTTCTGCTTTTCTTCTCCGCTGAAAAAATGATCAATAGTAAGTGTCTTCTCTTTAATTGTATTGTTTGCGTCTCTCATATTAAGAATCTGTCTTTTGTTGAGTTAATTTTATCTTTACCTTTATCTGTTGTGTCGCTGAACTCTTGTAATGGAACCGTAGTAATGCAATCAATCTGAAGCTGAAGCAGACATGTCAGATGAATGAACAGATGGGATGGCTCTGTTATGGATCTCTACAACAGAGAAACTTTCTATTGCATTTACAATTCATATGATCATTCAAGATCTTTTCTAGGTTTCCCTTCCTATATGCTCTTTATTTTCCTGTTAGTTGCTACCACGTCATCTTCCAACTCTTTAAGAGATATTCTTAGGTACTCTAGGCTTATTAGGCTCCATTTATGGTAATTGTTCAGTGTATATGGTTAAAACTTAAGATTGCTTTGCTTTCGAGTGAGACTGAGAGTCAAAGAGCGAGTCATATATACTACACTCAGCAGTCATGTAAGACAAGATCCCGTAGTCATGTAAGACAAGATCCTTCTTGTCGTGGCAAATTAAACATTCTAACATTATTCATGAAAAAAGTTTCAAACGAGTTTTCTCAAATCTTCATCAGTATTCAAAGTTTGAATCAACGTACTAAGAAGCACTTACCATGGAGCCTATTAGTTTCCAGTTTCCACGAAGACTTTTAAGCCGAGCATGAGTACCAATTAAATGGACTAGCAACTAGATACAATGTTCAAATATCTTTTGCAAATCCCCTAAGAAATGCGGCTAGATTTATCGCATCATTTAATGCTAACTGTTGGGGGTTATAGGCTAACCTCTAAGCTTTCTCCTTCACATTACGAGCCATTGACAGCATCAGGAAGGTCCTTCAGAACTTAAGAAGATAAAACAATGGTCTCCATTAGCTTCTTACTCACAAAAGACAAGCTCCTGTGTTTTTCACAAGTAATAGTAATATAATCAGAAGGATGTTCGGCTTTTGCTTCAAGTTCGTTGTTATGAGAAGATGGTTTTTCTTTAATGTTACCTGGTAAAGATGCCATGAAGCATAAGCATCTGTTGATGCGTATTGTAACTACTCCTTTAATAGAGGATGCACCTCCCAGTTTTCAAGCCTGATTCTGTTTGGCTTCAGAAGCTGCAAAGTAACAGTTTTTAAAGCAAAATTTAACCAAATTCCCAAAGTTCTAAATAGAAAATCTTCTGAAACAATAGAACAGAATAGTATCGTTTCTGATATTTTATCACTCTCGTTGTCGAGGTAATGATGTAGAAGTCTTCTCTCGTTGCGCATAATTTAACATTAGCTTTTGCTACATCACCCTCTTAAAACAATTCCTTAGTTGAGCAGATTTTTTTTTTTTTTGTCATCTTATTTTATTGGTATTACAAAGGAAGAATACATTTGATATGCTACATTAATCAAATTCAAATTGAACCAGAAGGAAGAAAAATTCGCTGATATTATTAGAAAAAAAGCCAACAAAATACAACAATTTCAATAAGAAACCAAAAAAAAAAACATTCAAGAAGAAATAGCTGAAAAAGAAAACCCTTTTTTTTACTGTTTGTTTCTTCATCTCTTAGCCTTGTGATTTCAATTAGGCGATCCTACAAAAGCATATTATATATATGGTAGATAATAGAAGATTACTCTTGCATATATATATAGAGAGAGAGAGAGATCTCTAATCCTTGTACTTCATCTCAGACATGAGGAATCCAGGCATCTCATACGAAGCCGAGAACTTCTCGACGTCAGCCTTGAGCTGATCGAGATCTTTGTTGTTCACCAAACCCTTGTTGAAGTCCTTCAACAACTTACCGTATGTCTTCTGGATGTCCAATGTCAGTGTCACTGCACGGCTCAGGAATTCTCCTATCTGCTCAAAGTCCTTCTCCACCAATCCTCTTGATGTCATTGCGGGTGTACCTATACTCGTATATATTAGCAAGATCCGACAATGAGATTCAATGGCCACTGTCAAGAACAATTCAGAATTTCCCTCTTACCGATTCTTACACCTCCAGGAGCAAGAGCACTACTGTCTCCAAATACTGCGTTCTTGTTCAAAGTAATGCTGCACAGATCGCAGAGCTTCTCAACCTTATTACCTGGCAAAAGCAGAATCATATAAACATTAGGACTAATTCTATAGGGTCACAAGGTGGTTTCTTTTTCTTTGAAATATTATTCACTCACCGGTCAATCCTAGAGGGCGAAGATCCCAGAGAACAAGGTGGTTCTCAGTTCCATTGGTCACAATCTGGTATCCCTTGCTCATCAGGTAGTTTCCAAGTGCAACAGCATTGGCTTTTACCTGTTTTGCATAGACCTTGAACCCAGGAGTATTAGCCTGCTTCAACGCAACAGCTAGAGCACCGATCTGGTGATTGTGAGGACCACCTTGAAGCGCAGGGAATACAGCAAAGTTGATTTTGTCCTCAAAGTCATAGACTGCACCCTCGGGTTGACCCTTCTTTGGTGGTTTTGGACCTTTCCTGTAGAAGATCATACCAGCCCTTGGACCCCTCAAACTCTTGTGGGTTGTGGTTGTCACAACGTCACAGTACTCAAATGGGTTTGCAGCTTCCTGTGAAAACATGATTAAAACTCAAATCAGTTCTGTCGGTGAACACAAAAAAAAACAATCTTGGCAACTAATATTAGAGTAATCACACCACTTTATCAGGCTCATAGGTTAGTTCCTATGACAAGTTCACTTACACATGCAGAAGTTAAAAACTAAAAACATGGAGACAGCACAAGTAAAATCAAACATCTTTAACAATGTGATATGATTCGTTTTTGGGAAGAAGCTCATTTGATAATACACCCTAAAAACCCTAGATATGACACATGAATGTAATTGAGTTTGGTGTCAAAGTTCCACAAATCCAGATCTTCGCTCAAAGCCATTAAAATGCTAAACAAAACCAGATCTAACAAAAGGAACACATAGAGAGTAGGCAAATTATACCTGAGCAGCAACGAGGCCACTGATGTGAGCCATGTCACAAAGCAAAAGAGCTCCAACCTTATCAGCAATAGCTCTCAATCTAGCGTAATCCCAATCCCTAGGATACGCACTACCACCACAGATAAGCAACTTAGGCCTAAAATCCAACGCCTTCTCTTCAAGCTTCTCGTAATCAATGTAACCAGTGGTGAAATTCACCTTATACGGAAGACTCTCAAAGTAAATCGAAGTAGCAGAGATCTTCTTACCACCAGATGTATAGTAACCATGAGTCAAATGACCACCTGAAGGCAAATCAAGCCCCATGATACGATCATGAGGCTGAAGCAAAGCCGTGTAGGCAGCGAAATTCGCCGGAGATCCAGAATAAGGCTGAACATTAACGCCCCACGCTGCTGGATCACAATGGAAAGCTTCGAGAGCTCTTGAACGGCAAAGATTCTCGATCTCATCGATGAATTCGTTACCTCCGTAGTAACGATTACCAGGCATACCTTCGGAGTATTTGTTGGTTAAAGCACTTCCGAGAGCTTCGATGACGGCGAAGGAAGTGAAATTCTCGGAGGCGATTAGTTCGATTCCTCGACATTGTCGACGTTTCTCCTTCTCGATTAGGTCGTGGATCTCTGGATCTACGGTGATGAGGGAGGTGTTTCCCCATGAAGAGACTGGTTCCATCTTCGGAGATTGTTGAATGGATCTGAGATCGGAGATTGAGAGAGAGAGAGAGAGAGATCTGAGATCGGAGAGTGAGAATTGGAAGAGAGGCGGTTGGGTTTAAAAGAGGAGAAGAAAATGGTGTAAATTACGGATTTGTCCTCCTTTGCTAATTTTGGTGTTAGTTGGTTAGGTGTGTGTGGTATGAGAACAAGCTGGGTGCGGTTTGACTATTTTACCCTCTTACCAATAATTTTTTTCCGTAATTAATTATGATTAGATATATAGTTAAGGCCCAATTGCAATTAAGGTTGTTTAGGGTATTATTATTTTTATTTTATTTTTTGTCATCCGAAATTAATTAACGCTCAAAATAGTCATTCTTGAGAAATGTTGTTTACATATGCGATATGAAGCGCAACTGCACGAATTTTTCGTGTCAGATTATCCGTTTTTACATTAGCACTACGAGAAATTAAAGATAAAGAAAATGTTGAGAATTCTTCCTTGTCGCTCTGAAATTCCTCCAAATACACTGAAAACGCCGGACATTCGGTTGGAGAAGACACCATCTTCGCCAGGTCTGAACAGTCTGTAAAGAACGCTACCTCTTGGTTATCTGCACCAATCATACACTTCATCGTTGAGAGAAGGGCCTCGACTTCTGTATGTAATGGAGATAGACTTCTACGGAGGTTGGCAGCTCCCACGGTTGGTGGCTCTCCACTTGATGATGTACAGAACCATCATGTACCAGAGAACTTATCACTTCCTTTCCATGATCCGTCCACAAAATAACGGTATCCCGAATAATTTTTCTTATTTTGATAAAAGAAATTGAATTTTTGTTGGTAGAAAAATTTACAAACAATATTTAAACTGTTTATTGAGTAAAAAAAAAAGGGAAAAAAAACTGTATATAATTCAGAAATATGAAACTATAATTGAATTAAAAACATAGCAAAAGGCTTTGAGGGCCCATGGTCATAATTCAGCCCAATGTTTTAAATATGAGAAATTATATTCTAATAAGAAACTATGGTTTCAAATGATTGTACGTGTAAATAAGATAATATGTATCTTAATCTTTTGATGCAAAGGTATTCAACATTGTCTACCACAAATTTTTCATCTCTGTTGTGAAGATTTCAATAACTCGGATAGACTTCTAAGTGTAGCAGTGTTATGTGATTAGGCCCTTTAATTATCTTTATGTTAATAATGTAATTTTCAAAGCTTTTATACGAAAGACATAGTCTATGACTTTTATAGATAAACATTGTCCCCATGTCTACAAGCTAAATAAAACTTTATACAATCTTAAACAAACACTTAGAGAATGATACGCAAAATAAACATTATATTTTTGTACCATGGGATTTTAAAATTTACTTTGGAGATGAATCTTTGTTCATTTATATTCGTGTTTATGTTGATGATATAATTTTCACCGATAACTCATAAGCGAAAGTATGATATCACATTACCTCACTATGCCAACACTTTCTTCTATAAGAAATTGGTGACACTACAAAAAAAAAAAGTGAATATTCTTACGGAAAAATTGTGACCATTTTTTCGTCAGAAGATGTGACCACTTACATACTAAATTGTGACGTATTTATTTCATCATAAAAACGTTACAATTTTGTTATAATATTGTGTCTGAATTGAAAGTAACCGATTTTTGTCACTAATTATGTCGAATTTGTTACAAAATATAGTCACAAATATAAGTACGGATTTGCGACCAAATATGGTAGCTAAATTATACGATTTTTGTGACTAAATTTAAATCACGTCTACAAGGGTTTTGTAACTACACTGTCACAATTTGTCACGATTTTTTTCTTCACTATTTTGTAACTTTTGCGTTTGGTCATAGATTGTAGCATAATTGTTACCATTTTTGTAACCAAAATAAAAATGTGTGAACCAATTGTTATCATTATACTTGCTTAGCCGGTCCTCCAACAGAACGAACCGGTAACTCCTTTGCCATCCTTCCTCTATTCCGCTTGTTCCATCGATCCTCACTAGATCACTCACTATCGATAACAACAAATAGCCAAATTAACATCACATTATAGTTAAAGAACATATGTAACTCTTTCGTCTATTTTCGCCTATGTTTTTTTTTTTGAAATAAATATTTTCGCCTATGTTGAAAATGCCAAATACATTAAAGTGTGCACAAATTGTTATATTGGATACTCTTTCGTCGGTTTCTATTGATAAAAA